TAGTCGGCATTAGTCGAACCATCAGCGTTGTGGGAGTAGTTGTAGTTTGTAGTCGATTGCTGGGTCTAGATGAATATAGAGGTATTTCTCCGGTTTTTGCTATCACCTGCACCGGTCCAGTCGAGCTCTGCGAGTAGGTGTAATGGGTGTTCACCGGCTGACTCTGATGGTAGGTGTACGAGGAGTTGGAGCCGAGCTGAAAAGTGATCAAGTACTACGTTTTACTTCCGTATAATTTTTGGAAATAAAATGCCCCACATTTTAAAGGCTTAGGGCGTGAAAAGCAGTGCCGCGTTTCCCGACGTCGCCTACGAGGCGCTCCTTTGTACACAGCTTTCTATGCACACTGTACACCTCTTATACAAAGTTTAGTTTTCATTTTTAAGATATTTGCGGGTATTCTTTTAAGGTTGCTACCTCATCTATCTCATTTCTATTTTTCACGAACCTGCCCAGCAGCTCCCTGCCAAACGTTTTGCTTCTGCTGGGCGTTGGAGGCCCAGTGTGGTGGAGCATCGGCTGGCACTTTAGCTGAGGCGGGGAGGGCTAGCCTGAATTAGCAAAAGTTAATTATTCAAACTTGGGAACATACTTCGCATCGTTATCCCAGGCCTTGTGCTCCCAGGCGCCACGGCGCTCATTGACCGTACGAGTCCAATTCGGCTCGCGAGTCCAGGTCTGAAAACGTGATCAGGGCGTTTTGTTGGGCTTCCTGGCCCCTTTTAAAGGTACAGGGAAGGCAAGGCTATGGATTTTCTTGGTTACGGGCTCCGATGGAATTTGTCCCAACGCGATATGCAAAACCGCTCAAAAACTCCAGCTTTTCCAGCGATGTGGAAGGGCTCGTGATGCGTTACGCAATGAAAAGTCTATGGCGCGCGTTAAATGTGCGTTGCGTGTGGCGGCTTGGTGAGAAAGCCTAATTGAGCCGACGGAAAAGCCTTTAGCCATGCCTTGCCGCCACATTCAGCGATATGTAGAACTATTGCGTAATTTAGCATGTATAGAGATTTCGTGCGTTAAAGGGAAATTACATTGCGTAACAGAATGCTTTTATAAAAGCTCTAACTACGATCCATTGAGGGGAAAAAACTTTTAGCTGGATTGAAGTATGGCGAACAGATTTTTCGTGCGGTATCGGGATTTTAACGTAACGTATCTAGTAAAGCACTACGAGCTACTGGCGAAGCGAAACTTTTATCTATAACGTGCCATGGGCCTGGTGTGCAGCGGGTCCTCTCGGGTCTCCCAGGCAAAGTGCTTTTCCAAGCTCTTCTCCCGCCAGGTTGGTGTCGTTTCGCGTTTCCTCGGAACCAGGGCCTCATCGTTAAGCAGGGTATGAACGTTGACCTGAAGAAGGGCATGGTGGGTGCGACATGCGGGAAAGCGGGAGTGGTGAAAAGGGGGTAGCTTGCGGAAATAAGGCTCTAGGATAGGTATCGGCAGAGTAACGAAGCTCTACGGAAGTGCTGGATTTTACTAGTTTAAGATATATAATTTAATCATAGCTAAAGTACCGTTTTGTCCGGTCCATAGTAAGGATGCGGATCAACGTTCTCACGGTTGCGCCAGACGTCGCGCTGCTCTGGTGGAGCGCTGGACCTGTAAGAATGATAGCGTTTATAATAGAGAGAGCTAGAGAGAGAGAGCGAGAGAGAGAGAGCGAGAGAGAAAGAGAGCTAACCTCGGTGCCGAAGCACTCCTCGACCTCCTTGTGTAGTTGGTACAGAAGGTATTATCGTTGTGCGTCTCGGCCCTGCGACGGGTCGTGTGGTGATCCCTCTTGAAGCCCTCAGTCGGGCGGAAGGCCGTTCCCATCGAGTCGTCTTGCTAAAGAAGGTAAGGGGGGTATTTTGCGTACTACATGCGTGTAGGTGCTACTAGCTTAATGAGCTTGTGCTCGGTCCAAATCTAGGAAAACTTACGCGACCATCTCGCCTATCGCGTCCAGCCCTCATGTTGGACACGGTGTCGCCAACGAGGAGATGGGGATCAACCTGAAAGTATCGTAATAGTGGCTGGACTAGGCGTCGTCTTAGGTTCGGCTTAGGCTCAAGCTAAGGCCTACCGAGTCGACATTCGGGGCGAGGGCAACGTTGACCGGTGCGTGCGGATCGGCTGTGTACTTCGACCTAAAAGCTCAGCGTTTTAAGGACCCGGCGAGGCAAAATAAATTTTTTAAAGGGCTGTCGACGGCATGTGTCGATCCCCCCTCATCAGCAAATTGGCAAGTAGCCAAAGAACGCGCCCAGGGAGAGGCGAGACACTTCTTTTCCGGGTAACTGATTGACTATGCCGTCGGCATCCCTTTAACCGTGGCTTCAGTACAGAAGCCACTCACCTCCTCCTTGGCGGGTCAGGTCCGTGTCCATGGTAAGGTCCCGGAGCCACATATCCGGTCCCGAAATCGGTGCCACCAATCTCGTAACCTCTGGGAACGCGCTTCTCCTCCGTCTGGCGTTTGGTATACACGTAGTCATACGGGCCGGGTGGGTCAAAATGAATGTCCCCGCGGAAGTCCATACCGCCGCACTCGTAGCCTTTCGGACTGAAAAAAGGGGGGTAATAGTCGGGTGCTAATGACATACGAAAACACACTTGGTGACCAGAAACAGCTCGTAACTTACGTCTTCTCCCTATAACCATGGTGCTGATGGTTTGGCTGGTTGAACTCGGCGTGCGCCCAGTACGGAGTACCACCTCCCTTGTTATCGTGCACATAGGTTTTAGTCTTTTCCTGGAAAGTGATGGCTCGTGGCAAGCTGAACATGCCTTAGGCAGAATTTATCGATCAGATGCAACTCTTTGAAAATACACATAAAACGCTGGACTGCCGCGCATATCGTTTCCTTGCTCTTTTCCGGCTCTTTCTGCTCTTTTTAAGGTCTTTTTTACAGATCTTTCTCTCTCTCGCTCTCTCACTCTTCCTCTATCTCGCTCCGCCTCTGCCTCACTCTCTCGCTCCCCCTCGGTCGCTTTATCACACTCTCACTCTCTCGGCCATTCTCTCTTTCTCGTTTGCTCTCGATGTCGCGCTTGTCCCTACTCACCTGGAACTCCCTCCAGTCCGGATCCCTTGCCGGCGTCTTGCTGCCACCGCGTTGATCACGCTGATACTCGTACGACCACGTCTCGCCGGGCTCGGATTGAGCCCTAGAATGATATTTAGATGCTTTTAAACAGCCATAGTAACGAGCTGTATAAGGAGGGTTATTTCGAATTCAGGTGGAGCTAACATTGTCTAATACTCACCGATATCCAGGCGTCATCGACCTGGCCCTCTCGCTCTTTTCGCGAGCGAAACCTGCCCAGGCGGGTTCCTGAAAAATTCGTGGTTGCTTGATTTTTAATGAAAAGATACATATTCGCATACCTATTAATGACTTTAATAATGCGCTTATAACTTACCGGGGACTTGAACTCCCTCGGTTGCTCGATAGCGTTGATCTGTTCTTCCAGACTTGGGCCATACCCGTTGCGTTCTCCTTCCTGAAAAGGTTCTTGTTCTCTAGGTCCAGTTTCTCTCTCTCTCTCGTTCTTTCTCTCTCTCGATCTCTGTCTTGGAGCTTTTGGAATCGGTAGTTCAGCTTACCTGAATATACCTCAAAGTCGCGCTACGATTCGGGTCAAAGTGTTTCTCAGGAAGCGGAGCGGGCAGCGGGGCGGCTCCGGCTCCAATTTGCTGCACGTACTGCTCCTGGGCCGATTCTCTGAAAGAAATATGTATCGTAAACGGTTTATCCCGTGCTCTCTCACAGTGTTTTAAAAGATTCTTTTCCGAAACTTCATAAATGTGCAGTTTTTTATGTTATGAGTCACGTCTTTCACGAAATTTTGGACTCTGCGAAATTCGTCAGACCTTTTCGACCGTTTCAAACCACTTTTCCGACCCACCGAAACTGTAAACAAAACTCAGTGGGCTGCAACAAATCCGCGGTTATTCACGGAGAGAGAGAGAAAGAGAGAGAGAGAGAGAGAGAGAGAGAGAGAGAGAGAGAGAGAGAGAGAGAGAGAGAGAATGAGAGAGAGAGAGAGAAAGAGAGAGAGAGATAGAGATCCCATGCACCGGCGGGGTCACCTGGTGACTCTCCGAGCATGGGCCGAGCGCTAATCCCCGGCTAACAAGTCCACCCCACTGATATTTACGAGTTGGCCGAACCTAGCACGGCACAGAAAAGCCTAAAAATGTGGCTGTGGCCAGTTTTATTCGGGTCGCCTGGATTGTGGCGGTTTCGGGCTTGGTTTTCCTCATTTTGCCCACTTCCTGTTTCGAAAACCGAATTTTTACATATCTGGTAGTTCAAGGTTGAGGCTCGTAGCTCTCGATATTACGTTGCTGCGCATTATCGTAAAAAAGCTATAAGGCTTGCCCCATCGATCATCGAGGTGAGGCTCCGGCTTGGGCTTAGACTTATGCTTGCGCCCGGGTGCAAGCTCAGGCTTAGGCTTTTGCATAGGCGTAGCGCCCAGGCTTTGGCTTAAATTGTGCATTAAGCATAGGATTAGCTTGGTCTAGGCGTTTGGATCTGCTTACAATTAGGCTTATTATTATTCTTATGCTCAGGCCTGGGCTTAGGCTGAGGTTTAGGTCTTGAAATCGCGCAATATGAAGCCTCGGTTCAGGCTTGGCCTAGGTTTGGGCTTGGGCTTGGGTTTAGGCTTTGGCTTGAACCTAGGCTTAGGATTCGATTTTTGGCATATGCTTAGGGAAAGGCTCAGGCATTGCCTTAGATATTAGCTTGGGGCTGAGCTTAGGCTTTGGCTTAGGTTCGGGCTTCGGCTTTGGCTTAGGCTTGCGTTGGGCTTGGGTGTGGGTCTCGGCTTGAGGCTGGTTTTGCCTGGAGCGTTAGGGTAATTCGTTAGACGACAGAAATCATCATTTAAAAATTTAAGCTATTTTTAGCACATCTTTCTCTAGGGAGATCGCCTTACCCTTACTGTCCGAAGCCATAGAGTTCAATTGGCTTTGCAAGCCCGAAAAATCTATTTGCCCATTCGAAATGTTGACCTCTTTTTCACTATCTCTGTGTGGCGTGTGCCAATTTTTGGCACCTTGGCGTGAATTTCCAGAAAAAGCCCACAGTCGCCTCTGCTGGCCACGCGGGCCAACCATTTTGGAGAACAAACAGATCGGGGCGGGATATAAAGGCGACATTGGCGAGAAATCACCACATTATACCCCGGGACCCGGCAGAGTCTTTTGGTAGAAAGGTGGGTATATTTTGCATCAAAAACTGCATTGAAGTTTATTGAAGCCGTTTATAACCTTCCTATAAGCACTACTAATTAAAAATAGGATCTTATCTTTGTAAAAGCCAGATTTAATTTAATTCAGTAACCTTATACTTCATAAATTCTACTGAAAACCTTTTATCTTGAATTATAAATCAGCTTGGTTCGGCTTTAGGCATTAGAAACGGATCTAAGACTTTCATTAATGCTAGTGTTATAGCTATTAGCTCAGAATTTAGCTTAAAAGAAACCGTGAGATTTTGTAAATTTTCCTTCATCTTCAAATTTAAAAAATTTCTGGTTTTTTTATAAGCTGGCGCTTGAAATTCATGACGCGACTTTCATTAGTGCACTAATGATACTTCACATATCTACGAAAAAAATTCAAAATTAATTAATCTATTCGATTTTAGATGGCCTCCAAAATCATCCTCCTCATCGCTTGCGTGCTTGCTGCTGGATTGGTCCAGGAAACCTCGGCTCAATGGTACAATTTTTTGGTGAAACTTATTACTACTAATTATCTGTCTAAAACTAAGGCTGAAAAAACCGTATAAAATTTAATAAGAGCGAGAAATAGTCATTAAAATCAATTCTGTTCACACGAGAGAGAAGATAGCGCATTGAAAAAGACCCAAAGCAATTTTTTTAAGGTACGGAGGTTACGGCTGGCCTTCCTATGGTTATGAGTACGGAGCATATCCATATGGTGGCTATGGAGGATATGGATATGGCGGATACCCGTACTACGGAGGATATGGAGGCTATGGCGGATACTACGGATACGGCAAGCGCGAGGCTGGATTCGGCGTAGGTTTTGGAGTTTGTGCTCACTTTTTAGTAGCTTTTAATTAATTAACAAATTTCCTACTACGTGTAGTGTTTTTTGACAATATTAAGACATAAGCTACGCTTTTAGCCCCAACAGCCACAACAACAGCAGCAGCAACAAGTCCAAAACCCGCGGTTCCAGCCCCAGCTCGCCGCCCAGGCCTCGCAAGCACCCAGCAATGGCAATAACTAGATTTGCATTTAATTTGTGTCAACATTGACCTCCAACCATTTCTTTTCGACTGTACAAAAAGCTCCACCATTGCCCGAAAACGTGCTCAGCGGAATATCCGAATAAACTACTCAAGAGTTGATGGTTGCGCAACAGTACGCAAAAATATAAAAACAGACTACAAAGCGCCATACACAAATCATGGCATTTTACAGCCGACCAAGGACTAGGAATTTCGCTTTAGCGATACTAAACTCGACTCTACCTGTCTCCACGAGCCACCATTAATGCGCGCGGGAAGATATCCTACCTCTTAAGGGCCCAGCAAGCATGAAATCGACCCCTATACCCAGTCGAACGATACGATTGATTCTCACCCCTTCCTAGTCCCTTAAAAACGCAAAAAAACCTCGTACTCTTCACTGATTCTCGAGTTTCACACACACTTTCCATGCATCCCCTGGCCCTCGTTGCGTGGACTGTTTGTTAGCGGTTGTCTCGCCTGGGGGAGCCAACCGCCATTCACCTGCTATTACACCCTGCTGGGTGGGCTCTAGAGCCGCCGCACTGGGTCTCAAAAAAAACCCTGCCGGGAGCTCGAGCCCGAAAAATTAGAGAGCAACTCTCTAGAGCATCGACTCTCGAGGCAGGGGCAGAAAAATCGAATGCCTAATCACTTTGGGGGCATTACAACCTGGAGCGGTGGGGGATTTTTGGGAAGAGGTCAAGGGGTATCGCTAAAAATTGCAGCAAATATTTTATTAAATAGACCTCAACATTTATTTAAATCTACAGTATTGTTTTGGCATTATAATGCCAAAGCACAAAGCCTTGCACGGTATTTTTCAGATTTCTCATGACAGCCTCGGGGCGAACTAAGTAAGTACTCGTAAGAATTAAGGCCAGAAATAGGAAGCAATCGATAGAAATCTTGTTAAGTACTTTGAATTATCGATTTCCGGATGGCCAGTATTAATAAAAATCATTAATGCATATTAAGCCTCTGATAAGCCCCCAAAAATATTTATCGCGGCCTTACTACGTCTTCTAGCAGCATTCTTCAAAGATTTAGCGCAAGAAGCCAAGGATAAAAAGCAGCCAGGCGCTTTTTATAGCACTTCCGGAAAAATGGAATGGTTGTTAAGTATCCTCTATGTGAACAAGCTTTAGATAAGCTTGCAAAGATATTTAGGTTTTACTAGGCTTCTAACGGCGTTTTCCAAAGAGTTGTTCAAACAACGGAGATAAACGAGATAAATAGGGTTAGGCCGCTTTTCTGAGCATCAAGTAGACTAGAGGTGGCATTATTAAACCCTTATACGGTGTCCAATCGATCCTAAGACATACCTGGAATAGAGATCGGCCGGCGAGTTGTACTGCAAATGGGCAACGTTGGGCATTGCGGGTCGTTCGCGCGGGCCTTGGGGGCTGACCGTCTGGATGCGAGCCGGCTGCCGGTCCTCGCTCGTGAAGTTTAATACCTAAAAAAACGTAATTATAACTTAAATAGTTTTTCTAAAAATTCTTCAGGCGCTTCAGAATAGAAAGGAGATGCCATGAAAACAATAGAAATTTCGGAAATTGCGAGTTCAAGCTTGAAAAATCAATAGGAAGACGTCACGATTTCATGAAAAATTGCGTTTGAAGAATTCCAGCGTCAAGTATACTTTAGGCAATATTGCACTGGGATACTCATTAATGCTTGTCGACAGACAAGCATTAATGTGTATCGCCTTTTTAGTTTGAGCTACAGCTAGAAGAGCGACACCAAACTGTGTGGAGCGAGCTTCGCAAAAAATTAGACTTTTTCGCTCGGTTGATTCAATGCATGAAAGCACCCAAAATGTCAATCCCGGAAATCCGATAGTAAAGCCAACAATCGAGCGGGTAATTTGAGAGCGGATGATGTTCCCACCGCTTCCGGGGCCAAGTGCGGCGAATTAACACAAACACACCGTCCGCCCGAAAAGCCGGGACCCCAAGGTTCTAGCGCGTGAAAAAGGTGGGTCTCGAAGGAAGAGAGAGAGAGAGAGAGAGAGAGAGAGAGAGAGCAAGGGAGCGAGAGAGCTGCTCTGAGCACCGCCTACGGCTCTCACTGCCTTGTGTGAGGCGGAAAGGAGGAGCATGAGCTGACGTGCTGTGTTGAGTGATCGGGAAGTAGCCAAAATAATGGGAGTTCTTTAACAACAAAATGATAAAAGCGATAAATAGAGGGCGAGAGAAAAGAGAGACAGAAAGAGCGAGAGCAAGAAATTGAGATAGATAGGTGGAGAGAGCGAGGGAAATGAACGTACCCTCGGAATCGGGATACGATGATGTCGCATCGGTTCCCCAGGAGTCGGTCGGGAATACGAAAATGGAGATTTTTCACGTGAGGAGCGATCGAATCTGGAAAGTTTGGAATTTTTTTCGATTCGGAGTGCCAGCCGGTACTTGACTATTAGCAGGGGGGTTATCAGGGGCACATGTATAAGCCATGTTAAAAAATAAATAGAATCCGGCACAATCTTGGTTCCTTCAGAAGCCTACCTCCCAGCCAGGGCCGCCGGCACCGCCACCCCGTCGACCTGGACCTCCTTCGTCATCTGGAAAGTAGCGTTGTCTGGAGCTTCTGCTCGTAGAATGATAAAGGGTTTATAAGAAATTATAACATCCGCATTTTTTGGCGGCCAACAACTGTTCGGAGGCCCGCTTGGGTTGGCGCGACAGGTTCCTGGCCCCAGCTGGCACATGTGGACCTTTTGGGACTCTTGGCTGGCTGGATGTGAAGGCTAAAATAAAGTTAACGAATTGAAACTAACGCCGATATTCGTGAAACAGTATATGTGACAGTTTTTGGATTCGAAAACACCGCAAAAATTAAAATTTGGGTTGAAAATTAGTTTAACCGAAATTTTGCATTTCCGGTTGCCAGGAGAGCTGAAAAAAAATCACGATTCGCCTCATTTCCAACTTTCTACTCGCCGCCACCAGCGTTTCATGAGTGGCGTAGTCAGGTATGCAATCATTGAAATTATGCAAATTCACATTATGTGCAGCGGCTGCAGCGTCGAATACACCGGAGATGGAGGGCACGCATGTCTCGCGCAGGGGCTCAACTTTGCCGGCGTCAAGGGGTAAATCTCAACTATACGTTACGTTAAAGGAATGTGCAAGCCAAAAATCATCTACCACAGCCAGTTGTTGAGACGTAAATCATACTCGATTTTAGCCGCTACGAGATCCAGACGGTCATCCGGCACCTACAGTATGGCGACATTTTCAAGGTATGCCACTAGAAATACATCTGGTATCATTAAGCGCGTTAATAGACTGATTCATATATTCTGACTTTTTCATAACCGTCTCTTTTAGGTGAAATCCCTCAGTTCCGGCGAGGTGTTCCTGATGAAGTCTGAGGTGGAGGCGGTACCGGAGGATATGGCTCGATTAAAGGTATCTAACCTTTAAAACCTAATTTTATTCATTTTTTAAAAACCTTAAAAACTAATTACTGGAAATCTAGTGAACTTCACACCCATCAGGGTCATTTTCAGAAAGAAGTCGGCCTGCTTACAGACGTCGAGAAGGACCGAGTGAAGACGCCCGGAAAATACCCCAATTTTCCAGTGTCGGGTTGTACAGAATCATTTTTTACTGACTTTTTAGGCCCCTCGACCGCGGCAGGGTCGAGAAGCACTTCAAGTTCCTCGTGCTCAAGCTCGTCGGCCCGGATTTGCATGTAAATCGAATCGAACTAGAGCTCAAGTTTGGATTCAGTACTTGAGATCAAAGGTGCTGAAGCGGAACTTCTCCAAGTCGACGGCCCTCCGGCTCGCCCTGATGACGCTGAAGGCGATCGCCGACTTGCACGAGATGGGCTGGATTCATCGGTGAGGAGGGTTCGGGTCCAGCCGGGACCGGAAGGCGTCTGTCGCAAAACGCGAAGGGGACACTTCCACGACAGGCAACGCCTCTGCTCACTCGACGCAAGGCGTGGCGTTTCGCAACACGCAACGCGCCTGCCCTTACGACACGTAACGTATTAGCCCCATTAGAGGCCATGCGTATGCCCCGTGACACGCAGCGCGTAACGCAATGGCTTCCGCAACACGCACCGAGTCTATCCCTCCCGCGACACGCAGCGCGGCTGCTTCCGCGACACCCAACGCGTTGACTCCCGCGATACGTAACGCAACATCTCCTGCGGCACTTGCCGCAATTCGTAGCGTGTTCACTTCCGCAACATGCAAAGTGGTTATTCCCATACGAGCTACGAATCCCATAAGGAATCCTTAACTAACGAAAGCCATCGCCATGCCTTATCAGACCCTTTAAAAAATTGTTCCTGTTCCTGGGCCAGCTAACAGCGATTATCGTGGAACTATCAACCCTTTTCTATGTCAGTGACATCCGCCCCGCCCAGTTCTGGGTGGGCTACGGCCCGGACTGCATGAACCTGTACCTCGTCGACTTTCTCAAGATTCGCCAGTACCAGCGCAGCAACAAGGTCCATCTGTAGGTCTTTTTGAGCGCTGAAAGCAGCTACCAAAATTTTCAAAAACCTCTCAAATTTTCTTTAGGAAAAAGCGCCCAGGAATCATGAGTGACGTCAAGTACAGCCACCACCGCTACCTGTCCAGACAGGCCGCCCAGAACTTTGATCAGAGCCGTCGGGATGACTATGAGATGTGGTGGGTTTTCTCTATCTCTCTCTCTCTCTCTCTCTTTCTGTCTCTATCTATCTATCTCTCTCACTATCTTGCTCTCTCACTCACTCGCTCTTTACCCGTTTTTAGGCTCTTCATGGTAATCGACTTCTTCGACGACCAGGCCCTCCCGTGGTGCAAGATGCGCGGCCTCGAGTCGGTCATGTCGAAGCTCGAGTTCTTCACCACACCCAAGGGTACGCAAAATTGGTTTACGATTGCCGCACCCTGATCCAGCCCGCGAGAACACGATCCGCGCCGTCCATCCCGACTTTGAGCTGATCGCCGACATGGTCAACAAGATGAAGTGGGCCTCGGAGATGCGCGTGCCGTTCCTCGAGGAGACGCTGAGGAGCATTGCGGGGGTGGGTTCTGATTGGGGTTGGACTCGGATTGGCTTGGTTTTGAAGTTGAGCCTTGCCTTTTTGATTTCAAATTCCATATCCACAATTCCAGAAGCTGAAGCTGAACCTAAAAGAACCGTTCGACTGGACCCCCGAAATGGCCACCCAGCACGCCAGCGCCACGGCCAGCATTGATGCCTATCAGGCTGGAGCTGATATGGTTATTTCGCTACTTGCTGCCTGTTCGCATTCTTGTAACAACCGCGTCTTTTCTTACGTTATAATTTTTTTCAGCAACGGCGCAGCAACAGCGGCAGCGGAGGCAGCAAGAGCAAGAAGCCCCGAGCAGCTGAGGAGTCGTTGAGGTCGAAGAAGAAGGCGCCCAGCCGCCTCATCGGCTCCAAGGAGAAGAGCCGCACGAACCGGCTGCCGGCCAAGAGTCCTGGTAGGATACGACCTCTACCTCCTCAAGACAGCGAAGCGATTAGAGCGTTAAGAAACGTGACATCTGCTTTGACGAAAATCCTTTTTTATTGTCTTGCAAACCCCTTTAAATCCGAATTTTTTTTAAGCCCAACCCATCGAGGTCAAGGTCAGCCCGCAGAAGCCGGAGCAGGTCGTCGGCGGCAAGGACGACGATGAGGAGGAGGAGGTCAGAGCTTCTTGTTAACATCCCTTTGACGCTTCTTCTTTTCAGTTTATGACCCCTGGCGGCGGCGAGAAAGACTACGTGCGCGCCGAGTGCGTGGTGGCCGGGTTGAAGAAGCAGAAGCCGAAGAGGGCCGCGGTAAGGATTTTCAGGCGTTTTAAAGGGACTTGGAAGTCAAAAAATGCCAAAGACGCCAATTTCGCACAAAATAATATAACGTCCATTTTTGTCATTGTTGACGTGAATAAACTTGTTGAAAACAAGTTTCAAAGCCTTCAAAGTGCCTTTAATTGAGTATTTCGCGCTTCTAGACTTTTTTAGATGCTTTTAAAGGTGCTAGCAAGGCAATGATTCAGAAACTACAACGCTTTTTTCTTCGAAATAATTTTAAAAATCTGAAGATCTTCAAAACATAAAATTTTGCAAGACATTTTTAAGACCCTACTTTTTTTCAGGACGAAGAGAACGAGGCGTACGACAACTTCAAGTTCTAGCCCCGCCGCCGCCCACTCCGACCTCCACCTCAGCCTCCTCCGCATCGCCCCGTCAAGCCAAGCCAAGCCAAGCCAACCCCTTAAGCCCTCCCCCTTCTCCCCCAAAATATTTGTACATGAAGAGAAAAAACCGTGGTTAAATCAGAAAAGGAATTCTTTTTCGTCGTCTATGACTGCCTTTGCGTATGTACGTGTACCTGTGACTCTGCCACAACCAGTGAATAAAGCTGTTTTTGGGTTTATTTTTTGTGGCCACGTAAATTGTTGTTGTTCTGAGTTTGTATTTGTACTCAGCTGAGGCTTCAGAGAAGCATCAGAAAGCGGAAATGAGCCTGAGTACTCGGTAATTCGCTAAAAAATTTCCTAATTGAGCTTGTGCCAGGAGCCACTGGCGTAACATCTGGCGTAACGTATCAAAGTTCTTACCAAAAAAGCTTACAACTTAATTTTAAATTTAGACAAAAAAACAAAAATTATTTACTAACTAATTTTGCGAAAAATTGAAGTGTTTGTCCAAATCGAGTATCACTGTGTATTGGATTTTTGAAAACTCTGTAAAACCCGTTTCGACCTGCGCTTTTAGTTACGGTGCGCTTCCAGTAAACTGAACCAGCACTTTGTTCAGTTTATCGACAATACCCCAACGAAACTAGTGCACAAAAATAGATCGGCCATGGCTCAATTAGCGTACCCCAGAAAAATAGTAATTGATGCTGCTAAAACCCTAATGCAGAATTTCGGGCCCAGGGGATTTGAATAGTTGAATAAATACGGTATCAGCTGAATTTTGAGTCATTTCTTCCTTGGTTTCAATTCGGGAAATAAGTTCAGGTTGACGAATTGTTGACTACCGGCCTCCTTGATTTTTTTAGTAGGAATTTATGCGCGAATTTGGTTTATGAATAGGCCAATTTGCGATTTTTCTGAGTAATACATAAAACATTTTTTGAGTATATAAGGAAGTTTCGCGACCGTGTGCATTAGATATATCTTCGTAGTGTGGGATTCATGCATTTTAATGCCTCTAAAAACTCCGCATAATAGAATCTTGCCGGTATTCAGCCCCTACATCCGGGTGGTTACCAAAAAAAACCCCGGATGCTTAGAGGCACCTGAATGTGGTTGATTGAATGCAATCAGGAACGTCGCGCAATGATCTCATTATTGCAAAAACCTCCGGCTTGTAGCGTGGACCCAAACAGAATTACGTCGATGCACTTGCCAGTCGCAGCAACATGAACTTTTCTGTTTAAATACGCTAGAATATCGTGAAGATCTTTTGCTTTTCCGATTGTTATGATACTGTAATTTTGTAATGTATTTCTTAAATTTTGACCATAATAGTCCAAAAATGAATGATGTTTAGCCTATGATCCCCACCGGCTTATGGCCATACCTATGGACCGGAAAATTAAACCAGACGTGGTATAACTGCTCGGTGAAGACGCAGGAGGAATGGTTTGCTACTGGCATCAGGAGGGAGCTGCAAGGAGCTTATTTGTTTGTCAGCGGAATGTTCTTTTTGGTAAGTTATCATACAAAGAAGTGGTTTCATTTTCAAAAAAGTTAAAAAATGTTTAATAAAGTTTTTTTTTGTTGTAGGTCTGCTACACTGCGGCCCTGGTAGGGATGGTTCAAGCCAAGCTGATCTACAAATCCCCGTGCTACGTCATTATGATGTTTATGGGAATTGGTGGGTTTTTGACGCACTTTATGGTTTCCCGTACACCTGTATTTCTGCTATGTTATATTTTTGGTACGCATTCATTAATGAGGGGAGCACGAGCTTACCTCGCCTGGCCTCTCCCCCGCTAGCCAACCAGGACCTGAATTTTACTAGTGTCAAAATGTCATAATCTTTGAGAACGCAACAAGAAAAACAATAATTTCGAGAGCCTAAAACAGTCTATTATTTTCAGGTGACATTTCCATGCTAATCGAAAGCTCTTTCTTCACTGGTTACCTGATGCTAAAAGGCGCTGTGTTCTGCAACTATCCAATTATTACATATGTCGTGGGAGCTGTGGGATCAGGTACGATACTTCAAAATAAGTCTTATAATCCACATTTACCAACACTTGAAACCAGGTTAAAATTTTTGTAACTAAAAATCCGCTTATTTTCAGGCTTTTGGTCGGCTTCTTGCGTCTACTGCATGACGTTGGCTATCAGCCGACTTGCTGAAATTGCCGGTTGGCATTGCATCACTGGTTTTCTGACACGACGGAACTGTCTTTTGGTCTGGTTGGTTTTTCCTACTTTCCGGTATTTATACTGTACGTGTATATTTTTAAAATATGCAATTCCGAGCCAAATACAAAAAGCTATAGGCGAAATCTGAAAAGCTAGCCCGAAAAAAATAAAAATTGGTATTCCATAGCTCAGTGGAACCAGAGATCCAAAACTCAGACTGCAAATTGGTGGCTGTTATGCCACATTCCTTAAACCTCCGGGGAATTCACGTTCCAATTCAACTTTCCAGCCTGATCGCACTCGCCTACAGCGCCTGGGTGACGCTGTTCACCGCCACGCCAATGTTCAACTCGACGTTGGGCGCCTGGTTCTTTGATCCGTTTCTTGGAAATCAAATGAGGGCTCCGGGGATTTGAGACCAAATCAACATTACAGAAGGCAAAGTTCAATTTTGTGAAGACAAATTTGTACTAAAACGCTAAAAAAATTCATGGACAATTAAATCTACTAATTACGGGAAACTAAACCTCAAAACATGTTAAAAGACGGATTTCCATAGAATTTCGCCGCACCCGCGAACCGTAACGCGCGTACCCCTGTTTTGAAAGCGTGTTCGATCACGCCGCCTTGCCGTCGCGCGGACTTGCGCGCGTCGTGAGTCGCGGGTGCTGTTTGTTGTGAAACCGCATAATCCACAGAACATCGCTGCGAAATCCAAAAAAAATTATAGCAAGAAAATCCAAAGTCGAGTCTTTTTAGCACCTTTAAAAACCTGAAATCGTGGAAAAAACGTCGTGAAATTCACCCTTTTTAGAGAAAATACGAAAACGTCCCACATCAAGTCCAGAATATCGTGGTATCGATTTTCGCCATCGTCGTCTACGTCTTCATGTGCTGGAAAGCCTCCCAAAAATGGGGATGGTCAACGGGGCTGTCGAAGACGCAGCGATTGGTACTTGAACTGAATGATGGTTTTACGTGTCTGTAGCTCTACATCCAAGCATTTGTCATCTGCTCCACCCACGTAATCGCCTCGTGGGGCTACATGTTGCTGAACATCATCCCAACATTCCCCCTCGTCCTCATCATGGTCGGCCATCACGCGTGGCAGTGGAGTCATGGTGAGGATCAACCAAAAATGTTTATTAGCCAGCTGGTAGGCAACAATTTTCCAAGTCCCTCTGCTCGATGTCCTAATCTCCAAAAATTCCTCACAAAACCTTTGCTAAGTTCCTGCATCCAAAGGTTTCTTGAAGTATCGGTGCTGGCCAACGTATACCCCCATAGGTCCTCAAAGAATCGGTGCTGCCTTCCGCATTCTAAAATCCGCGAATAATCTTTGTTCGGTTCCTGCCCCCCGAGCGTCTTAAAGGTACACTAAAACCTTGTTCAAAAAAGTGGATCGCCGGCGGGAATTTTAGACCTTCGCCGTGGCTTGGCCAGTCCCTTCATCAACCCTCGTCCCCCCGCCCCCCGCCTCTCCCCTATGGTTTAGTGGTCGAAAGCGCTCCGGGTTCGGTTTTGCTCTACGGCGAGCGCCTACCGTAACCTATTCCCTATCTCGCGGACGGTTCCCGGCCGGTAACCAAGACAACGAGATTTTAGTGTGCCTTTAAAGGGCTGCCGACGGCATGTGTCGCCCCCCCTCTCATCAACAAATTGGCAAGTAGCCAACAGGGCAGAGAGTGCGCCAAGGGGAGAGGCGCAGAGACATTTTCTTTCCAGCGCGTAACTGATTGACCATCTCGTCGGCATTCCTGTAAAGTAGCGCTGCTAGCCTGACTGCACACTATTGTTCCTCAAAGAATCTCTGCTAGCCTGCCCCGTAGCGACCGCTGCCTCAAAAGATCTCTGCTTCCTTTCCAAATTCCGCTCACAACCTATACAGTAGTCGGCCCCTCTTTGGCATGATGCATCGACTGAAGGCTGTGCAGACCAACTAGCGCCAAAGAAAAGTAAAAACGTGATGTAATCTTAAGCAAGAGAACGATCGACTACCCAGTGCTCCATCTTACGCAATGAAAGTGTCCCACGTAGCATATAGAGCACTAGTGACTCGACCCTTTTCAGGTGTCCCCGGCGTCGTCTACCTGGCCCTGAACCGCTCGATCAAGCAACAAGTAGCCGGCTGGTTTGGCCTACACTTGGTGAGTAATTTTTATAATCTGTGAATTCTATACTATCTACATTACGTAAGTGATAGCCATGAAATCTGTTGATTTCCAGGGAAATCGCACCTACTCTCTCAATACCACCGACCACGACCGTACCGAAACCAGCCAACAGAAGCAGTGAAATCAAATTTTGAAATCGACCATAAAAATGTGTACGCACTTACCCGCCACATTCCGAAATTTGCATAGCCGAAAACAATAAATTTTGCATCCCATTTCCCGGAAAAATGGATCGACACAATTGCCATCTCGGGGCAGCTCGGCATCGCCGTGTCCCCTCTACACCACCACAGATGGCGCAATCTGCCGAGAAAAAAACCCCGAAGTAAGACCTTTTTTTGTCACCGACCTAATTTGGATAATGTGACAATGAACTGAAAAATCCTTACCCAATGTCGTGATATTTCTTTTTATTAGGCCTGATCCACCCAAGCCCAAGAGACCCAAGAAACGCAAGCAACCCAGCAGCGGTCAAATTGCCGAGGAGTTTATCATAAGCACGCTAGAGAAAGGCATCGAGGTCGGTGAGCAATTGTTCTTCAGAAGCTGTAGACACATTTTAGGGCTTGAGAAGAGAATTCAACCGGAACCCTCGCATCTACGATACGGCCAAGTGCACGGTAAGCTGCCGCAATCCGACGTTGAACAGATACAAGGTGAGGGAAAGAGAGAGCGAAAGAGAGTGTGATAGCGAGAAAGAGAGCGAGAGCGCCAGACAGCGAGAGAGAGAGAGAGAGATAACGGCTAAAGTCTAGTTTACCCCCCGGCCGGAACTTTTCACCCCTAGGTCCTATTAATGTGCGGATTATCTCAAAATGTTCGCCATGGTCGAATCTCTGAGTCCAAGTTGTTTCCTAACGTCAAAAATTGTCAGAAATTTTTTTATAACAATTATAAATCTGAGTTTTCTTTAATTAATTTTTCCTGGTCCAAAGTGAGTTTTCGTAGCTCGACTATATTTAGTAGTACGGAGCTGTCAATGGTACCAAAATGTAGCTCTTGCGCCGTAGAATAAGGCTACAGTACATTTGAATTGAAAAAATCGCGAAAAAAGAAAAGAATTGAGTTTTAAACGCCTAGTAGATTGTGGCATGGCGACTTAATATTTTCACATTTCAAAATCTTGTAAAAAATTTCTAACAATTTTTGTATGTAACAATTCTAAAAAATGTATGTAAACGATTGATCTATAGTAATTCGACAACGGCGAACATTTTGAGATACTTGACGCATTAATAGGACGTAAGGCTAAAAAGTGAGGGCTGGGGGAGGGGGTAAACTAGACTCTTACCGAGATAAGGTGAGGTACAAGGTGAGGGAAAAGAGAGAGAGAGAGAGAGAGAGAGAGAGAGAGAGAGAGGGAGAGAGAGAGAGGAGGGGAGGCAGCGATATAGAGAGTGAGAGAGAGAGATAGCTGACCCGCCCTTCAGGATATCGGTTGCCACGATTACAATCGCGTGCACGTTGTCGGCGCCAACCCCGACGAGTACATCCACGCGAACTACGTGGGCATCGAGGAGAACCCGAAGTGCTTTATCTGCACCCAAGGGCCGATGGAGACGACGTGCGCCGACTTCTGGATGATGGTCATCCAGCAGAAAGCCTGGGTTTGCGTGGTCTTAAGTGGCAGGGCCGCTGTATAGAAGGCGCAAGCTGTTTTGCCTTCAAGACGTTTTTGAGTGTCACCGGGACCTTGTGATGGGACCCAACCTAGCTTGTGCAGAATTTGGCGCTGATTCCAAATATGGCTGCCGTTTTGCCAAATAGCCCGATTTACAAAGTTATAGCTATCCAGATCATATTTGGGTCCGCAGCAGGAAGTCATCCGCCACGATGCCCAACTTTTTTTGTTTTAGTATTCCAATCTATTTTAAAGAGATAAGTTAAAATAGAATTTTGTAGAGACTTTTTTCTGATTCAAATTATGTACTTGATTAGCTCACTACTTCCTATTGGAGATCACTTACGGGGGGGTGAAGTTGGCTGTTTGTTTCCATTTTAGATACAAAAATCTATTTTCAAAGTTTTTCAGTTAAATAGCTCATTACATAGAGAAAAATTTTTTAAGAAGTTGGCCATATTCGTCTAATGAAAATCTGCCGGGAATCGCGAAATAAATGGCCTTAAGGATAGCAAATTCGCAAAAACGTCTTCCCCCCCGCGAATCCTCAAGAGCCAAAATTACAAAATTACGAAGGTGTAAAACCGGTGTGTAATTATTCCGCGCAGTCGATCCTGATGTTGGGCGAGTTCGAGGAGCAGAACAGGCCAAGGTGCGCCAAATACTATCCAGACAAGCTGGGGCAACAACTGACCTTCCAAACACGTGATCGGGGCCCGATCGTCGTCACGAATTCAGGAGAGGAGGAGGACATGGGCGGTCGCCGTTCAACAGACGAAATGGTACACATAGGATAACGGGGGGGGGGGGCATAACGGGGGGCACTCAAACTTTTTCTATGATAAAAGTATTTTTAAACCAGCGGGGGAGGAGCCGCTTCGCGACTCTCCCCCGCTGGATCCCGTCTAGGAATGAATGAATCGAGCGCCCTTCCACATAAAGTTACCCTGACGAAAGAAAAACGCAACTCTCATGCACACCTCTTTGCATTGGCATGCGGCGCAAGCTTGAACTGCTAGTCTCGTTATTAGGCCTGCGGCGCATGTTTGCTCGGCTAGGGTAGGACCTAATACTGCGGTCCAAGCTGGAGGGGCCTTATTTGGCCTGCGGAGCCAGCTTGAGCGGTTTGTTTCGAGATAACCCTGCGGCGCAAGCTTGAGCGGACTTGAGCTTGAGCTTTAAGCCTGTGGCGCCAGCTTCAATGGTTGGCTGATTCCTTAGCCTGCGGCGCTAGTTTATGCGGCTAGCTTCGTTCTAAAGCCTGCGGCGCTAGCTTGTGTGGCTAGCTTCGTTCTAAAGCCTGCGGCGCGAGCTTGAGCGGCTAGCTTCGTTCTAAAGCCTGCGGCGCTAGCTTGTGTGGCTAGCTTCGTTCTAAAGCCTGCGGCGCGAGCTTGAGCGGCTAGCCTCGTTCTAAAGCCTGCGGCGCTAGCTTGTGTGGCTAGCTTCGTTCTAAAGCCTGCGGCGCGAGCTTGAGCGGCTAGCTTCGTTCTAAAGCCTGCGGCGCTAGCTTGTGTGGCTAGCTTCGTTCTAAAGCCTGCGGCGCTAGCTTGTGTGGCTAGCTTCGTTCTAAAGCCTGCGGCGCGAGCTTGAGCGGCTAGCTTCGTTCTAAAGCCTGCGGCGCTAGCTTGTGTGGCTAGCTTCGTTCTAAAGCCTGCGGCGCTAGCTTGTGTGGCTAGCTTCGTTCTAAAAGCCTGCGGCGCTAGCTTGTGTGGCTAGCTTCGTTCTAAAAGCCTGCGGCGCTAGCTTGTGTGGCTAGCTTCGTTCTAAAGCCTGCGGCGCTAGCTTGTGTGGCTAGCTTCGTTCTAAAGCCTGCGGCGCTAGCTTGTGTGGCTAGCTTCGTTCTAAAGCCTGCGGCGCGAGCTTGTGCGGCTAGCTTCCTTTCAAAGCCTGCGGCGCTAGCTTGTGCGGCTAGCTTCGTTCTAAAGCTTGCGGCGCGAGCTTGTGCGGCTAGCTTATAATTAATCCTGCGGTGACGGCTTGAGCCTCCTTAGCCTGCGGCGCATTTTGAACGGCTAGCTCTGTCTTTGGGCCCGCGGCGCTGGCTTGCCCGGCTGAACTCTCTTCCGAAGCCTGCGGCACTAGTATCAGAGGCTAGCTTCATTCTTTAGCCTGGGGCGCGGATTTGAGCGACTAACTTCATAATAACGCTTCTCTGCGCGAAAAGCCCTTCGAAATCAACTTTCCGATCAAAAAGCAAAACAACTACCATCCCTGGGAACCGAACCTCCGATGGATAGATTGGCAGGCTGCCGCTCTAACCACTACACCATACAACGATTGGGGACACGCGCGAGGTTCCCCTTAACTGCCTCGAGGGGGACAGGTCCGGGGAGGGGAAGGGAAGGCAGAAAGAGGCAAATCCAAAGAGACGACCACATTCGCGCGTGCAAGTGTCAAGAATGAGCAAATTTCTATTTTTTCACATTATGCAAATTACCCCCAAAAATGAATAAAACCGGCTTTAACTTTGTAAACTTGTATTTTATCGAAATTCTGAGAACGTCATCGGAAACAGGAGGGTCGATTCCCCCGAGTGACGGAGAATTAGGGCATTTTGGACACGGGAAGGCCCTCAAATCGGGCCTCGAAACTGACATCCACACACACACACAAAGATACACACCAAAATTATATAAGGTAGGATATGCTTTTTCGGGCTGCAAAAAACTCTTAGTATATTGTTCGTTCCTCTATCGACTGGCATTTTCAAAATCTCGAAAATATTCAAAACGCCGAAAATTCCCTCCCCCCGTTATCCTATGTGCTGCCCATAGTTTTCAAAAATAGTTTTTAGGCTATAAAACCTTTATAATACGTTTTTTCGCGTTGTAAAAAAATCTCTTAGTTTATTTTTTGATGTTCTATCGATTGCGTTTTCAAAATATCGAAAATCTCAAAAATTTGGCTTCCCCCCCCCCCCCGTTATCCTATGTGCTGCCCATGGATTATGATCAATTTTTGTTCATTCGCTAAAAAATTTCATTTACTTTATTACCCCCCCCACAGCCGAAGGGTCTCAAAGTTGTCGGTATTTTCGCTTATTTTGTCGGGATTTTCGCAACGCCATTCGATAGAGCGTCGAAAAATATACTAAGAGTTTTAATTTGAGCCTACAATAATGTAAAATAAAAAAGTTATAGCCAAAAACTTCCGGCTGGGGGGGGGGGGGTAAAGTAAACCGTAGCCCGGGCTGAAATTAATTTTCCTAGGGCAGTTTTCGACGCTTTACCGAATGACGTTTCAAAATACCAAAAATTTCGAAAATTTCGAAAATTTGACTTCCCCCCCCCCCGTCATCCTATGTGCTGCACATAGATTTTCCTCAATTTTTGTTTATTCAATAAAAAATTTCCATTACATTATTTTGGGCTCAAATTAATTCTATTAGTATATTTTTCGACGCTCTATCGAATGGCACTCGCAAAATCCCTCAGTAATTGCAAATTTCATAACAATGAGTGCCCCACCCCGTTATCCTATGTGTACCGGCGAAACCCTTAACTTTAGGTCCTCTTCATTCGGCCGGGCCATGCGGCCCAGGTTCATATTCGCCATCTGACGGTGCGTGGGCTCGACTCCGAGACCGAGGTCACGCACTACCATGTTGGTGGAGGAAGGGGCGCGGGGGTAACTCCTAACTAGGGAAGTAGTGCGATTTCGACACGGGAAATAGTGGATCTGATAGAATCGAACACGGGGATTCCGAATCTGGAATCAGAATCTGCTAAATAAAAGATTCCTAGTCACCTGATCGAAAAATCGCCTGTTCGAAAATCTCCTGATCGAAAATTGTCTGATCGAAAAATTGCCTGATCGAAAAACATCTGATCGAAAATCGTCTAATCGAAAATTTTATAATCGATAATACCTCAAAAAGTAGTTTGAACATGTTAGAAGCCTAGAAAAACCCTAAATTTTTTTGAGTTATTTTCGATCAGACGATTTTCGATCAGGCGATTTTTCGATCAGACGATTTTCGATCAGGCGGCTGCCAACCCGTTAAAAATAAAACCGAGAAAAAAGTTCCTACCCTTGCCAGTGGATCCAGAAAAAATTTTTAATTTTTAACGGTCCTTTTTAAAAATAAGTTTAAGATTAATAAATTTAATTAATAAGAATAGTTTAATAAGTTTTAAGTGTACACTGTAAAAAAAATTGGTTAGTCTAATCTGAGACCTCTCTGGTGTAAATTTGTCGCCGATAGCACGGCGAAATGCCAGATGGTCCGTTTCTTTTGCGATACATCTGTTCCTGTAAAATAAACAAGCCGCTCGATTCCGGTGGGTCAACTGGCCAGACCGTGGCGCTCCACCGCCCAACCAAGACCCGTTCAACCTGCTCTACGATATGTGTTGTGGCAGGTCAGTATTCTGAAAAAACCCATGCTTTGGGTGAAATGCCCGTTTTCACTGGGATTAGAGTTGTCATGATTCGAACACGAATGGCTAAATTTGAGTATACGGTTACCTAGCTATAGTAAATACAATTATACGTAATGAATTTTCTGCTGAATGAGCGATAATATCATCAAGATCTATCTGCGTAATCTCAAGGAGGTATGTTTGATACGTCATTAGATGCGTACTGGTCTGGAGGTCCCTGCACTCCCATGAAATCCTTCAAACTCATCTATTTCCGACACCACATTTAAGTTTTTGTGGAAATATCGGAGACCCTCTTTGGCAGGGATGCGGCATTTGGCATATGCCGGAAGTAGTGTTGGCCTATTTAAAGGGAGAGAAGCAGCCATAGGCCAGGCCAGGGTAAGGTAAGCGGCTTACCAACCCTGGTTTTCTTTAGATACTCCATTTCAGCAACTCTTCGCCGATCGTCCTCCACTGCTCGGCGGGCATCGGGCGCGCGGGGGCGCTCGTGCTGATGAGAGCCGTCCTGGAGAAGGTGAAGCGTCGCCAAGCTTTCAACGTCGAGGAGATTCTTAAGGAGCTGAGGCAATGTCGCGCGGGACTAGTCCAGGTCAGCAAGAGCTTCACCCTCGCGCGTTAGGATCGGTTTTAGGACCCAAATGTTTTTCGGGGCAGCCCTCAAAACCGGGATATAAGTATATGGTATAAGTATAATCGGTATAAAAATATCGCCTATGAGTCGATTGTTGTTATTTAATGGCTTGACACACATCTGGCACAATTTTGGGATCAACCGGATGTAATACGGCGAAATGCCGAGGGTCGCTTTTTCCGGACAACGTGTACAGGGTGTCCCAACAAAAAGATCCCCTCTCACCCGACGCAGAAGTATCAAATCGGAATGATAGTTACACCATTCGAAAGCCCTTGAAACGACAAATTTGCAACAACTGTCAAACCATCCTTTTATTTAAATGCGCTATTTTACAAGGCATTTACTTAAATTTTCCGGTCCTTCGGGGTTGCATCCGAGCTAATTTGCCTCAATTTCTCCATACAAAATGGCCGGAAGTAGCCGTTAATTAGACGCAGAGGCCGTTCCTTAATGTTTTTAAATGAATACATTGTAAAATGGCGCATTTCCATAAAAACATGGTTTAAAGGATTATTGCAAACTCGCCGTTTAAGGGCTTTCGAATGGTGTAACTATCATTCCGCTACGAACCTTCTGCGTCGGGTTAGAGGGGGGTGCCTTTTATTGGGACGCCCTGATATGTGCGTTTGCCAATTTGCATCCACCTCCCGGAACGTTATTCCAGTTTTTCTTATTTGAGCACCCCTTGTTTCCTCATCTCTGTATACGCCCGATATGACCCTGTATAAACCGTTTTGCAGACGCCGCACCAGTACTACTACGTGCACGCAGCGCTCCTCAAATTCTTGGCTGATACCATCTGCGAGCGGGACAGAATGATTAAATTGCGTCCGAAATTCATGCCGTTCTGGGCCGATTACAAGAAAGAGATCGACAAGGTCAACAACGACAACAACAAATCCACGATGTCGTACCTGCCGAGCGTTGAAAATAAGAAAGCTACTTAATGCTATTATTATCGCTTCTGACGTGAAATCCAATGTGTTTCGAAATAAACTTAATCAACTCCTTGGCCTTTCACAAAACAAGAGAAACACCAAGATGCCATTGGAAATTCTCTAACCAGAACAACAAAACTCTCACTTCCAAAAATTATTGGGCCCCTTGTGAGTCTCAGGGAAAATGGCCGGCCTGCAGAAAAAGCCGCACGGATATTTGCATAAAACGGATCCATGATCAACCCAGGTAGCATAACGCCCCAATTTACAACAGGATTAACAATTTGCATCAAATCTGGGCAAAATGGGTTCACTTAATTGCCATCGCGGCCCCTCGCCGTACTCGCTCGCACCGCTCGGCCCCGTCCTCTCCACGACCACAGATGCCGCGATCTGTCTACCTCAAGTAAGACGTTACTCGATTTCCGACATTTTTCATGCAGAAATCCACGTTTTTTGTCAGTTTTAACCCCCCCGCTCTAGCCGACACCCAACTTTTGTATCTCGGCTCCTTGTTCATCTGCAGGTGTGTAAAGTATACCAAAATGTTTGCCTTGCCCTGGCGAGCATTTTGGCATACTTTACATTCCTGTAGATGAACAGGGAGCCGAGATACAAAAGTTGGGTTCCGGCTGGGGGGCAGGGGGTATCTGGAGTCTTACCAACGCAGACTTATACCTGTTACAAAAAAATTCTGCCAATTTTTGAAGCAAGAAAACAATTTGACTTGATTTTTCGACCATGGCAAACATTTTGAGAGAGTTGTTGAACTGATAGGTACACACTGTTGAAAGCTGAGGCTGGGGAAAGGTAGCCTCAACTTTAGCCCGCAGACCTACCTTTCAGAATTCGCACAATGAACCGAAACTTGACCCCTGGCGAATGTCGTGATAGTCCTTTTTAATAGGCCTACGCCACCCAAGCCCAAGAAACCCAAGAAACCCAACAGGGATCAACTTGTCTGGGAGTTTATCACAAGCACGCTCGACAAAGGCATCGAGGTCGGTCAGCAATTGTTCTTGCGAAGCTGTAGACACATTTTCAGGGCTTGCGCAAAGAATTCAACCGTAATCCTCGCATCTACGATACGGCGAAGTGCACGGTGAGCTGCCGCAATCCGAAGCTGAACAGATACAAGGTGAGGCAGAGGGTGAGAGAGGGAGAGAGAGAGAGAGAGAGAGAGAGAGAGAGAGAGAGAGAGAGAGAGAGAGAGACAGAGAAAGATTACTGACGGGCCCTTCAGGACATCAGTTGCCACGATCACAGCCGCGTGCACGTTGTCGGCGCCAACCCCGACGAGTACATTCATGCGAACTACGTGGGCGTCGACCATCGGCCAAAGCGCTTCATCTGCACCCAGGGGCCGATGGAGACGACGTGCGCCGATTTCTGGATGATGGTCATCCAGCAGAATGTCAAGGTATGCGTGGCCCTGCGTGGCGGGGCCGACGTATGTATAACAAGGCGACGGCCTTAAACGCTAAAATTTGTTGCAGACGGGCCGCTTCACGGGCTTTCGAATAGTGGAACTAGCATGATGGTCCTTTGAAAAATCGTTTGAGAGTAGATCGGGTACTGTTCTATTTCTAGCGGGGGAAAAACTGTGCGGGAGGAAAAGTTCTGGTGCGGTGAGTTACTTCTTCTTGTCATAAATATTTTATAATACGTTATTCCGAGTTGTAATTGAAACTCTATTCGTATATTTTTCGGTGCTCTATCGAATGCCGTTGCAGAAAGCCCGACAAAATAGCGAAAATATTGAAGTCCTGCCGAATCAAATTGCCCGCTCACAGTTTTCCCCCACTCTAAATAGAACAGAACCGTAAATTATAAAAAAAAAGTTCCAAGATACGAAGGATTGGAGGCGGTGGGTAATTATTCCGCGCAGATGATCGCGATGTTGTGCGAGTTCGTGGAGCAGAACAGGCCAAGGTGCGCCAAATACTATCCAGACAAGCCGGGGCAACAAATGACCTTCCAAACAAGTGATCGGGGCCCGATCGTCGTCACCAACATATTCGAGGAGGACGTGGGCGGTCATCTTTTAGCCGGCGAAACCCTTAACTTCAGGTCCGCTTCACCGAGCCGGGCCATGCAGCACAGGTACGTCTTCGCATCATGACGGTGCAGGGCCTCAACACCGAGACGGACGTCAAACACTACCATGTTGGTGGGGGAAGGAGTGAGAGGTTGTCTAAGCTGGAGCAGGTATTGGATGTTAGCGGGGCGACTTCTGGTAGCGTTGCTTGGAGAATCCGTCTTCGAAGTCGTTTCGAAGTGACATCCCAGTTCAGAATCTTGTGAACATGTTTGCCCTGATTTTAAATATGTATTTGAAATCTCCTTCATGGGCATTTTGGAAAAAAACTAGAGCGCATTTTTGGACAAAATACTGAAAATCGCAAAGTGTAGACTCCTGAATAAATTCGTGAGAAAATATTTTTTTCCGCAAGTATTCCGCGCATCTTGTGCGGAAAAAGGTGCTCTTTCGAATCAGCTATCCTACGCACATCGAAAGCTTGCCGGGAAAAAAAACACATGTTTTTCACGATGTGGTTCTGCCAGCATTTTGAGGCAAGTTTTATGTAATTTTTGTATGACCAGGGTTGAAAAACCGCTGCGCGGCTTTTCAACCCTGGCCCCGGCCAGGACCTGCGAAAGTCCTCAATTTGCATGCTTCTCCCTAAATTCTAGCAAGAAAAAAGTGAAAAACAGCTCCTCTGTCCCTTTATATAGGCCCTCCCTACTTCCGGCGCATGCAAATTGCCTCCTAACAAAGAGGTTTTTGGAAATCTTTACAAAAACTTATTTTTAATAGCGAAAACAGCCGATTTTTCTAAATTTTATATGTGTGCACTCATCTCGGGATCCTTACGCACCTAATGACGTATCATACGTACCTTGAAAACCTGCCCCTGAGGCTGTAGGTGCGGTACATACTTACGGAAGTTGCATGCAAATATACACACACACACACACACACACACACACTATTTTTTTATATATAGTAGGATAACGCACCCGAGAGAGCATTTTTTGCTGCAAAGATGCGCTAATCATTTTCTAGAAAATATTTTCTCGCGAATTTCTGCAGGAGTCCAAAACGTTCTAAAAAATAACCAAGGTGCTGTATTCCAGTGGGCCAACTGGCCAGACCGTGGCGCTCCACCGCCCAACCAAGATCCGATAAACCTGCTCAACGATTTGCGCTGCAGGTCAGTACATTGAAAAGGCCGTGTTTTGGGTAAAATGCCCGTTCACAGTCGGGATAAGCGTTGGCATCACTCGTACAACCAACAACAATAAGAGCATTTTATTCACGGGATGACCCTCAAATCGGGCCTCGAAAGTGACATCCGCACGCACAGACAAGATCCGCGCCAAAATTATATAAGGTAAGGTCGTCCAGCTCGACGAGCTGGCTCAGGATCAGTTGCGAAAACGATTGCGAAACACTTCTCGAGCTAGATATAGGCGTCCAAATTTTTATCTCCAGAAGCACCCAAAAGTCGTGCCACCGAAAACAACCCCCCCCCATCCCTTTATAAACCGTCATATTATTTTGATATTCCATGTATATTTAGCAACTCTTCGCCGATCGTCCTCCACTGCTCGGCGGGCATTGGGCGTGCGGGGGCGTTCGCGCTGATGAGGGCCGTCATGGAGAAGGTGGACCACTGCAAAGCTTTCAACGTCGAGGACCTTCTCAAGGAGATGAGGCAATGTCGCGCGGGACTAGTCCAGGTAAGCAAGAGTTTCAGCCTCGACCTCCCGGATCACGGGGCAACGGTCTCGGGGGCAAGCCTCAAAGCAATAAGTAACGGTGTCCCAATAATAAACACTCCCTCTAACTCGACGCAGAAGTATAGGATCAGAATGATAGTTACACCATTCGAAAGCCCTTGAAGCGGCGAGTTTGCAACAATTGTAAAAACCATCCTTTTATGTAAATGCGCTATTTTACAAAACTATTTTACATTCTGTAAATTTTTGGTTGTTTTTCGGAGTTGCATACGAGCTAATTTACCTCAGTTCCCCCCCAACGCAAAACGTAGCATATCTAATGTAGTGTAATGTAGTGAAGTAGCCGTTAATCACACGCAGAAGTCGTTCCTTAATGTTTTACAAAGTTTTGTAAAATGACGTGTTTAAATAAAAACATGGATTTGAAAATTGTTGAATGCTCGCCGTTTCAAGGGCTTTCGAATTGTGTAAAAATCATTCCGATCCGATATTTCTGCATCGAGATAGAGGGGTCTCGAGTTGCTTTGCATCCACTTCCCGGAACGTGATTCCAGTTTTTTTTATTGGGCACCCCCTGTATCTTTACCCTATGCCAACTTCGATTTGACCCTGTATACAAAGTGTCTCCAAAAAGCACCCTTCAGGTATTTAGCGGTTGGAAAGAAAGATTATCAGGTTGGAAAGAAAGTAGAAAGTACGGTTTTGCAGACGCCGCACCAGTACTACTACGTGCACGCGGCCCTCCTCAAATACTTGGCTGAGAACAGCCGCCAGCGGGAGAGATTATAGAGAAGTATTGCTCCCGAAATTCATGCAGTTCTGGGACGATTACGAGAAGGAGATTGACAAGGTCAACGACGCCAACAACAAATCCACGATGTCGTACCTGCCGAGCCTCGAAAAGGAGAAACAGACCTAATGCTACTATTATCGCTTCCGATGTGAATTCCAATGTGTTTCGAAATAAACTTAATGAACGCCTTGGGATTCCATGAAACAAGAGACACCAACTACGTCATTCCAAAGCCATGAAACAAAAATCACAACTGCCAACAAAAAATTTGTATAAGCCTAGAAATGACGGGTAATTTAATAGGACGTGATGTTAAAATCCCTTCCTACTGCTTTAACTCTTACTTTAACTTAAAAACCGTGTTTTAGTAAAACAAAAATATATTTCGTCCGGAAAACTATCTAAAAACTTTCAAAAAATGTTAAAAGTCGTCATTTTGGGTAGAAACGGCCATTTTTTTTGCAAAAAAAAAATTGATATTTTTGTGTTTGACTTGCACAGTTTCTACGTTTATGAACAGTAAGAAAAAGTTTAAAGACGCTTTCGCTAGCTTTATTTGAAAAATCGGGCCTTACGAAAGGATTTCCGTTCGCCCTCCGATAATGGGGAAGAAAGGATAACTGATTGCGAGAAGTGTAGAATTCTACAAGAAAGGCTTTTGTGTTGTGACCAGGGTTGAAAACCTTGTCGCGGCTTCTCAACCCTTGTCCCGTCTAGGACCAATAAAAGTCTTCAGTTTGCATGCTTCTTCTCCGAAATCCATCAGGAAAAGAGTGAAAAACGGATCCCCTGTCGCTTTATATAGACCATCCCACTACCGGCTTATGCTAATTGATCACTAACAATGGGGGAGGACGAAAATTTAACAAAACCCTATTTTTAAGAACGTAAATCACAACTTTCAAAAATTTTATGTGTGTGCAGTCGATTCCGGACCCTTTTTTGGCGCAATGAGTTTTCTTCCTAATCGAAAAATTGCTTCCCTGAGGGCCTCCATGCTCAACCCAAGCAGCGTAACGCCAAAATTTACATGAACGAATAACAATTTTGCATAAGATCGGCGCAGAATGGCACCAGTTAATTGCTGTTGCGTCCTCTCGCATCACCCGGTTCCCCGTCCTCTCCACTTCCACAGATGCCGCGAAAACGTCCGCTGTAAGACGTTACTCGTCGGAATTTTTCATGCAAAATTCCACGCTTTTATTGTCAAAAACCAACCTTAACCGATTCAAGCGCTACCGAAGTTTTCGTTTCGCAAGCGGCTTTCAAAAAGCCGTCGTTGAGCCGGGAAAGGTCTAAAAATGGGAAATCCCGAAATCTCGAATCCCGAATCCCGAAAAAATCCCAAAAAAATAACGAAAATATCGAAAACTTTGGGACCCTCGGGCTGGGGGGGGGGGGTAAAGTAAACCGTAGCCTAAAAATGTGGAATTGTGAATCAACCGCTACCCCGCGTCGAGACAGCCCTTTGTTCTAGGGAGGACCTCAGCGGTCCCGGACAACGACGCAGACGGGAGCAGGCACGACAAGCAAAGATGTGCAAGGCTGCAGGGATGTTTATCAGAAGCACGCTCGAGAAAGGCATCGAGGTCGGTCGGCAAATGTTCTTCCCATGCTGCAGCCACATTTTAGGGCTTGAGAAACGAATTCCACCGTAATCCTCGCATCTACGATACGGCCAAGTGCACGGTGAGCGGCCGCAATCCGAAGCTGAACAGATACAAGGTGAGGGAGAGGCAGAGAGAGTGAGAGAGAGAGAGTGATCGAGCGAGAGAGAGATGACTGACCCGCCCTTCAGTATGTCGGTTGCCACGATCACAACCGCGTGCACGTTTTCGGCGCCAACCCCGACGAGTACATCCACGCGAACTACGTCGGCACCGAGAGGAACCCGAAGCGCTTCATCTGCACCCAGGGGCCGATGGAGACGACGTGCGCCGACTTCTGGAGGATGGTCATGCAGCAGAATGTCGAGGTATGCATGATCCGGTATTGTACTGCTAACGGCTCAAGGGGAAAGGGTGGGGTTTTTTAGTGGGAGGAAAATAGCCGGTCTTCTTCACCTATAAGCAAAGGAAAATCTACTTTTCGCTATTAACAGGTGGGTTAGGGTGGAGTTTACCCCCCCCCCCCCGCCCCCGCTCCAGCCGGCACCCAACTTTTGTATCCCGGCTCCCTGTTCATCTACAGCTGTGTAAAGTATACCTAAATGTTCCACTTGCTCTGGCGAGCATCTTCGCATATTTTACACATTTGTAGGATAACGGGGAGCCGAGATACTGTAGGTGGGGCCGGCTGGGGGGGGGGGTGTAAACTGCAATTAAAGGTACACTAAAATCTCGTTCAAAAAGTTCGGTCGCGGTAGTAAATTTGGGCTCTCTGCCGCAGATAAGCCGGCCCCTTCTTATTGCCTCTCCCCTTCCCCCTTCCCGTCTCTCCCTTGGCCTAGTGGTCCAGGGCGCTGCCCCAAGCTGGCAGTAAGGGTTCGGTTTTGCTCCGCGGCAAGCCGCCTACCGTAACCCTGTTTGCTATCCTGCGGACGGTTACCGGCCGGTAACCAAACCAACGAGACTTTAGTGTACCTTTAAGGGACAGGTTCAATTAATCCTAACCTGTTAATAGTTGCGTGCTGTTTTGCGAGGGTCCATGTTGGCCTAGCAACCAAATATAAGATTTTTTTTATGCTGCCTTTTGTAACGTTGAACTAGAGCAGAAGCAGAAAGACCTTCTAGAACGGTTCGCCAAAGGTTTCAAAAAGTCGACATTTTAGTCATTTTGCGTCGAAAAATTCAATAGTATTAATTTTAAAAAAAACGTGACGAAGGTTTGGAGCCGGTGTGTTAATTTTTCGTGCAGTCGATCCTGATGCTGTGCGAGTTCGAGGAGCAGAACAGGCCAAGGTGCGCCAAATACTACCCGGACCAGAAGGGACAAGATATGATCTTCCGAACAAGTCATCCGGCCCTGATCGTCGTGAATTCAGAAGGTCCAATTTTGAAGGAGGTCAGCAGCCACCTCTACTTCCGATTTACCTTATTTTCAGTTCTCATGCAGGCGCGGGGAGCCGGAAGTCGTGGTTCATGTCCGCAAGTTGAAGGTGCGCGACATCAACTCCGAGTTAAACGTCGAACACTACCATGTCGGTGAGAGGGGTCCGAAGTGGTACTGGGCTGTTAGCGGGGGGGGGGGGTCTAGCAGGGGGAGACTAAGTACCATAGACTGAGAACAGAACAGACAGACTAAGACTTATTAAGACATTGTAGCACATGCTTGATTATGCCTTTATCAAAAACCAGGGAAAAAGACCGCCGGCGCTGCGGCGCCAGCTACTTCTTTTTCTCTCGTGTTTAGCCTGCGGCGCGAGAGCGTAGGTAACGGACCTTTTAATTGGCCTGCGGCGCTAGAGCGAGAGCCAGACTTAAATCTCGCACACGGAAATCCTAGAAAAAGGTTTTGCTGCTGAACAACCAAAAAGCAAAAAGCCAAATTTCTCGGGGATCGGAACCCCCGACACTCAAATCCGAAGGCCGAGCTCGGATCCACTACACCACAGGGGAGATGGAAACGCGTGACGGGCAAAGCCTTTCATATCCTGGGCTCAGAGCCAAGCAGAGGTAAAAGGAATGGGCGGCCCCAAGGACCTCCGATCGGCAATCCAGTTTCCGATGGCGTTTTCAGGATCCCGATAAAATACAAGTTTACAAAGTTAAAGCCGGTGTTATTGATTTTTGGGGTTCGGGCGGGCTAATTTGCATAATGTGAAAAAATACAAATTTCCTCGTTCTTGCCAGTTGCACTCGCGAGTTTGGCCGTCTCTTTGGAATTGGAATTCTATGCTTTTACTTCCCCTGCCCCGGGCAATGCCCAAAAGGGATTTTTGGCGCGTGCTGCCAAGCATTGCATGGTCTAGTGGTTAGCGCTTTGCCGTGCCAATCTGTCCATCGGCGGTTCGATCCTCGGATATCGTAGTTGTTTTGCTTTTTGTTCGGAAAGTGCGTTTCGGAGTGGATTTCCGTGTGGGGACGTTATTATGAAGTTGGTCACTCAAACCTGCGCCGCAGCCTGTAGAATGAAGCTACCCTCAAGCTTGCGCCGCAGACTTTGGAACGACGCTAGCCGCTGAAACTAGCGCCGCAGGCTTCGGAAGGAAGTTAGCCGGGCAGGCTAGCGCCGCAGGCCCAAAGACAGAGCTAGCCGTTCAAAATTGTGCCGCAGGCTAAGGAGGCTCAATCTTGCGCCGCAGGCTTTCGAACGAAATTCGAAATCGAAATTCGGCCTGACGGCCGAGAAATCGGCTGTACAGAAGACAGACATACTTTTCTCGCTTATAGGATAGGATTCTAAGATCTCAAAGTGGGGCACAATTTGGTGGACACCCTGTAGTGACGAAGCCAGACGACTCAACATAATGAACTCCGTTCCAGTTGCGCTTCTGGCCGGACCGCGGCGCTCCTCCTCCCATCGCCCGTTTCCCGATTGCACTTCTCGACAAGATGTCTGCACAAGCGTCCGTACTTTGATCAGGAGCGCTTGATTCTACAGGGTGTCCCAAAAAAACCCCCCCCCCCCCCCCTCTAGAGGCCGTCAATCGGATCGGATCGGAATGATTTTTATACCAATCGAAAGCTCTCGGAAAGGCGAGAAAACAAGCGGGTTTCGTTTTCTAAGATTTAATCTGATTCTATCGATATTTCAGTTTTTCCTAAAAAGCCGGGAATTTTTCATCAGGAATTTCGCAATTAGCATGCAGATCTCGCATAAATCAGCAGTTCTCATGGTTTTTGGACATAAAATTAGCAAATAAAAAGGCTTAATTAAGAAATTCAACCCTCCTTGTTTTCTCGCCTTTTCGAGAGCTTTCGATAGATACCTAAATCGTAAAAATCGGAATTGACTGCGGACCGCTAGGTAGGGGGGATTTTTTTTTTTGGGACACCCGGTATTCATCCGGGAAACGGTTCGAGGCATTGCTCTGCCAGAGCCAATTTTTTCAGATACAAATTGGATGCACGCAATATGCAAATTAGCCCTCAGGTATCCCCAAAAATGAAAAAACATCGATCTCTCTATTAAAACTCTCGATCGAATGCGCCATTCTTCGAACAGCTTCTCGGATGACTCGAAACAACCTCGACTCTCTTTATGAGTCCGGCGGCGTAACCCAAACCGCTCGATTCAGAAATCGGCGGACGAGTCCGAGTCCGATCGTTGTCCACTGCTCGGCTGGCGTTGGGCGCGTCGGTCCGCTCGTGCTGATGCAAAGAATTCTGGAGCTGGTTAGGCTCGGCGAGGATTTCAAGGTTGAGGACCTGCTAAAGGAGATGAGGCAGAGTCGCGCGGGCCTGGTCCAGGTACGCACCGGCTTCTGGCAAAGAAAACCGAATTGTTAGCGGGAAACCGAATTTTTGGGTTCTGGACTGTTAGCGGGGGGGGGTTTAGCGTCGCGGGGAAACCAAATATTTTAATATTTATATTTTATGGAACCGGAGATTCCATAAAATATAAACTATTTTGATAACGGTATTTACATAGTTTTTAGTGGTCAAACCATCTCAAAAATAATGAAATCCTGCCCCCCCCCCCTCGTAAGGGCCTACAGGGTGCGGAGAAAGTTTTGGGTGGCAGAATTAGTTATGTTTTCTCCAATTGCGTGCTCCAGCCTGGATTTTTTGAATGGGAGCCTAAAAATGGCGACTTGAGAAACACTAGGCACCAACAGATCAACCAAATTTTTGAAATTTTTGGGAGTAAATGCACTAAAAGCGTAGCGCTAAAATCACCGTCGGCACGCAGTGTTTTTGCTGCTCTTACCGTATGCCCTCTGCACCATTCTTGATCCAAATTCACGAGATTTGGTCAAGATATTGACAATCCTATCCGCCATCTACTATATCTAAATTTCTAATGTCCGTGCACCCGTCCGACCGACCGGGAATTCAGCCAAATTTTGCATTCAGATTCAAAATTCAAATTGTGTGTGGGGGGGAGAGAGGCCAGCGCTGAACCGCCGCGTAGCGGGTGGTCAGCGCTGGTCACCGCATAAAATTACAAAATCTCTGGATTTGAATTCGGAGAGTTCTGGCGCTTTTAATTCTGAGCAATTCCCCTAGCGGCAGAGAAACAGCTGCGAAGCTGAAGGGCTCACAGCCCATAAACCGCGAAGCGTCACATTAATGATAAGTCAGGCATATGAACATTGTAAATCAGGATCTTTAACGTCCAAATTTGGGGGATAGACATTAAAACAACTCCAGGTTGAGCCTCACGAAAAGTTAAACAGCCGGAAACCGCAGCACGCTGCTGATTTTCAACTCAATTGCGCCCAGGCAGGGGCGTAGCCAGAAAAAAATTTCGGGGGGGGGGGGGGGGCCCCGGGCCCAGGGGGCCCGCCTTACGCTACGTCCCTGCGCCCAGGGTTTACAAAAGTTGATCAAAAACTGTAAGATTTTCATAGGATAATGCTTTATCCCTGTCTTTCATAGTCCAAAATCCTGGAAAGCCGGGTGCTAGGATCCAAAGGATCCAAACCCATTATGGTTTTCAGAATCGGATAGAGCACGTCCGAATCTATGTTGACACTACAAAATTAGCGCGGAATCGCTTAGAACCACAATTTTTCGAAATAAAAGGGTGCCATCCAAAACTTTTTCCGCACCCTGTAGTCGTATATGTGAAAAAAAGAAAAAGTGGGTCCCCCGCCGCTAAAAATGCGCTCGGCGATAAAGCGATCAGGGTGTCCCAATAAAAAAGATACCCCTCGAACTCGGCGCAAAAGCATCGGGTCGGAATGATAGTTACACCATTCGAAAGCCCTTCAAACGGCGAGTTTGCAACAATTTTCAAAACTATGTATTTATTTAGACCCGCAATTTTATAAGTCATTTGGTAGATTTTCGATTGTTCGGGCTTACATACTAACTAGTCTGCCTCAATTTCTCAAAACAAAATGACCTGAAGTATCAGCTAATTGGATGCAGAAGCCGTTCCTTAATGATTTTAAAACGCTTATAGGGTGATGCATTAAAATAAAAACACGGTTTTGAAGATTGTTGCAAACTCGCGATTTTAAAGGCTCTCGAATGGTATAACTATCATTTCGGTGCGATACTTCTGCGTCGAGTTACAGGGGGTGTTTTCTACAGGGACACACTGTATTTGGGCGGTCCCGATCCCTTTAAAAGTCCATGTCAGACCCTATGATTTATTCGGTATGAATTTGCCTTACATCGTGTCAGGTGTGCTTCATGTACGTCGACACCCTGTTTCAGACGGCGCACCAGTACTACTACGTCCACGCCGTGCTCCTCGAATATTTTATGGGGTATACGGAGCCCTACAGGTGGAAATTCGAAGACCTTCGTCCGGATTTCGACAAGTTCATGAAGGACTACACGAAGGAGGTCGCCAAGGTCGCCAACAACAAGTCCACGATGTCGTACCTGCCGAGTGCTGCCATTACGAAACCCACCTAATACTATCCCCGCTTGTATCTTCCTTACCTTAAAGTCAACGCCATTGTATTTCGAAATAAAATTAATTAACGCCTTGGGATCCTGCGGTGGCGGTTTATGAAAGAACATGGAACACGAAATGCCGTTCCAAAGCTTTTGAACACAAAACAGAACCGACAAAAAAAAATTGTGTAAAGGCGGAAAAATGTCTGGCAATGACTATGAAGTATTTAAGCTTTTTTAGTAAAGTAAAACTATATTTTAATCAGTTGAAAAGTCGGCATTTTGGTCAAAAAAGCCGGGTTTTGTCGGGAAATCGATGTAGAATAAAAAATTTGCAACGTTTTTACGTTCAGAACGGCACAAAAGGGTCAATCAACTCAGAAACAATGCCGCTAGCTATATTTGAAACATTGGATCGTAAGAAAGAATTTGGTTTCCCCTCCTTTCCCCTCTGATAATGGGAAAAAAACTGATAACTGAATGTGAGAAGTGTAGATTTCTGTAAAAATAAGTTTTTGTTTTGTTCTGGGACTTTGTAGTTTGCTGGCAAAAGCCCTTACAAGCGGTTTAATGGTCAACCCAGGGACCAGAAACCCGCATTCCAGCCAGAATCCCGACAGCAATAATCTAGGCAGCCAAAATCCCGACAGATTATCTCTTCCCGGCAAATCGTCTTTACCGTAGTTTGCCATACTGCAGTCGTTTTCCCCATAAATCGTTTAAAATGTGGAGTTTTTGGCTGTCGGGATACTGGCCTGTCGGGATTATGGCTGTCGGGACTATGGCCTGTCCCGTTTTTGGCTGTCGGGATTATGGCTGTCGGCAGTTTCCTTGCCGGGATAGAGGCTGTTAAGATTTTGGCGTTTCCCCAGAAAGCCACAATTTACATATTTACATAAAATAGTAACAATTTTGCATAAAACCTGCGCATAATGGCACCAATTAATTGTCAGCGTCGGCCACTCGCGCCGCTCGGCTCCGTCCTCTCCACTGCCCCAAATGACGCGATCTAGTTGCAAGAAGTAAGGCGTCGCTCTATCCCTTTTTCGCACCACAAAATGGCACAATTTTGTAGTCATTAGTTGTACGAGGGACGATTTTTTGAGCTCGGTCAGGGATTACGACGGTTAGGGAGCAGTTTACCCCCCCCCCCCCAGCCGGCACCCAACTTTTGTATCTCGGCTCCCTGTTCATTTACAGGTGTGTCAAGTATACCAAAATACCTGCCAGAGCAAGGCGAACATTTTGGTATATTTTACACACCTGTAGATGAACAGGAAGCCGAGATACAGTAGGTGGGATTCGGCTTGATGGGGGGGAGGGGAGGGGGCTCGTTGCCGTGCTGAATAAGATACGAGGGCTTGTTTTTGAAAGTCAATCGGGAAATGCGAAATATTTGGATGTGAAAGTCTTAAGCATTGCGCAAAAACGACTGAAAAGTGTTGGATCTTTTTACGGAAAGCTCTTCGGCCAGATATGATATTAAAGACTCATATTTATTTTTAATTCTCTATCGAATTGAGTATCATATGTAGCAACAAAAAACCCGCGCGAGGTAAAATCACCTTTCCTTGTCAGACCAATGTCATGGACGCGGGTACGAGAAGAGTGGAGTCGTCAGGATGCCGGGGTCTTTATCAGACGCACGCTCGACAAAGGCATCGACGTCGGTCAGCAAATGTCCTTCCCAAGCTGTAGCCACATTTTAGGGCTTGAGAGAAGAATTCAACCGGAACCCTCGCATCTACGATACGGCCAAGTGCACGGTGGGCTGCCGCAATCCGGAGCTGAACAGATACAAGGTGAGGGAGAGAGAGAGAGTAAGAGAGTGAGAGAGAGAGGGTGAGAGAGAGAGAGATATCACCGCACTTCAGGATATCAGTTGCCACGATCACAACCGCGTGCACGTTGTCGGCGCCAACCCCGACGAGTACATCCACGCAAACTACGTGGGCACCGAGTACAACCCGAAGCGCTTCATCTGCACCCAGGGGCCGATGGAGGCGACGTGCGCCGATTTCTGGATGATGGTCATCCAGGAGAAGGTCGAGGTATATCCGATCCGCGATTGTACTATCACCGGGCGGCTGCTGCGCGGAGGGGGGCGGAGTGGTGATCAGATTTTTTCTTATAGCATCAGCTGACCTAGTAATCACATATTTTTAATAAGTGTTAAAGCAGAAAAAGTTTGAAAAAAGTTAGAAAAGGGCTTACGTGCAGCCCACACGACAGCGGTCTCTAACCAAGCTACGAAATTGACGAAATTTCGACTTTGTGGTGTAATTTTTTGCGCAGAGGATCCTGATGCTGTGCGAGTTCGAAGAGCAGAACAGGCCAAGGTGCGCCAAATACTACCCAGAGCAGCAAGGACAACAAATGACCTTCCAAACAAGTGGTCAGGGCCCGATCGTCATCACGAATTCTGAGGGTCCAATTGTGAAAGAAGTGAGCAGCCACATTTACCTCCATTTCACCTGAATATCAGATCAAATACACGAATACGAGCAGCCCAGACGTGGTGGTTGATATCCGCATGTTGAAGGTGAACGGCCTGAACTCCGAGATCGTCGTCAAACACTACCATGTTGGTGGGAGGGGGGTCTGAATTTTTGCAAAATCATGCTCAGGGTTCGGAACTCTTTGTGCCTGATTGTTTCGCTTTTTGGTTTTTTAATGCTATTCAAAGCAAAATTGGCATTACAGAGCAAAAAGCAAAAGAATTTCACTAGCTGGGAGTCGAACCCGCCGGCAAAAAAAAAGATAAAGAGAAGCTTGTTCGAGTCAGATAAGGTCCCTCAAAGACAATGTAGTCGGAAGCCCGAAAAGTTTTATTGCCAGATCATGAAAAAATTTTGTAAGGGGTGGGGTGGGGTGGCTAATGCATTGACCACCCCCCAACCACCCCCCAGCCAACCCCTTTGACCACCCCCCAACCACCCCCCACGACCACCCCCCAACCACCCCCCGCCCCACCCTCCAACCACCCCTGGGGGGGTCTTACCACCCGGGGTGGTTGGCGAAGTATAGTGCAAAACACTGCGGATCGGGCGGAAAATTGATGGTTGGATTAATCATTTTCAGATTAATTTTTATCGAATACCGGACACGGTTAGCAGATGTAGAAAACGAATTCTTGTTCAGAATTTTTTTCTCTATCGAGCTAGCTAGGTCTCGCTCAAAAACTCGAATATCACCTAAAAACGACTCCTTGTTAATGAGGAAGCGAACGAGTCAACATAAAGAACTCGCTTGCAGTGGCGCTTCTGGCCGGACCGTGGCGCTCCTCCTCCTTTCCCTCTTGTGATTCGTATGCTCGAGAAGCGGTATTCGAAACAGTCCGTTTTTTGATAGGAGGGAGTGCTTTTGTTCGGATCATCCGGGAAACGTTCGAGACAAAGCTAATGACAGGGTGTCCCAAAAAAAGCCTCCCTCCGGTATTTCGCCTTATTACATCCGATCGATCCCAAAAGTGGAACAGAGGCGTAGCATACCCTAAATTACCACAATGCTGAATTATACCCCGATCGCTACCGTGGTTCTCGATTTATAGCCAAAATATTATTTTCTATGCAATTTTTAACAGGTTTTTCGGCTATCTTTTTGGATTTGCACCGATTTGCATCGAGTTCCGGCTAGCAGTCCCTAACTCGCCCAAAGCCCGGATTTATTTTTGCTTGCAAAGACGTTGAAATCAGCGAATTGATTCAGTTTTGTCAGGAAAAATTTCTAGGGATCAAGAAGGCTTGTCGAAGCATTTTCCCTTGCAATTCTAAGGGTCGACTCCGACGCAAACCCTATGAAAAACGCATTATAGAGTGCATTTCTGTTGTATCCCGAAAATCATTGGAGCTGGCGGTTTATAACTTAAGATTGTGATTATTTAGGGTCTGGCACACCTCTGGTCCAATCTTGGTACCGATCAGATGTAATACGGCGAAATACCCGAGGAGTGCTTTTTTGGGCCACGCTGTATAGTAAAAGCTGCGATTGTCATTTGACTGAAACATTAACAAGGGCAGCTTGTTGAGAAATTCTCTATCTAAGAGCTATGCCTCGAGCAGCTTCTCGGATGACTCGAAAAAGCCTCGTTCGTATGAGTCCAGCGGCGTAACCCCAACGGCTCTATTCAGAAACCCGATCGTTATCCACTGTTCGGCCGGCGTTGGACGCATCGGTCCGCTCGTGCTGATGCAAGGCATTCTCGAACTGATTAAGCGCGCCAAGGATTTAAGGTCGAGGACCTGCTAAAGGAGATGAGGCAGAGTCGCGCGGGCCTGGTCCAGGTACGAAGTTATTCTGGCAATTACAGGGTGCTATCTGGCAAGAAAGCGCCGAATCGTCAGGGGGAACCGAACTTTTTTAAGGTCTGTCGCACAAAAATTAGCCCCCCCCCCCCTAGCGGAATAAGAAACGCCGTTTTTTTGGGCTTGCGCTCGATATTAAAGGGGCTCCGAAATCTAGTCCACGGCCCCCTGCTGTGATTCCTGGCAAAATAGCCAGATACGACCGCAACGCGACCGCGCCGCATGGTCTTTTGTCCCTGTTTGGACGCGAAAACGCTTGCATTTAAAAATTTTGATGCTATTTTTGGAATCTTCACGAAATTTTGATCATACTAGACTTTTAAATTATGAAAATTGACCAGAGAATCGCCGAGATCGGGAGATTGGGTGCCTTACAAGGCGTTACGACAGGTAATCGCCGCGCACTCAAAATGTCGTTTTCGCCCCGAAAAGAATTCGGATTTTCTCACACATCTCACGTTTTTTCGCAATGAAATCACTTTTCTGGCACTTCTCGGCAGTGACCCTTGCGTTTTTTGACCAGTAGGTTCAATCCCCGCACGCACGAATTTTGACTTCTGAGCCCCTTTAACCGATTCCTTAAAAAGAGCAAATGCAGCGACCTCCTGTTTTCGGGACCCCATGTAGACCGTAGCCAACTTACATGCTATTTTCATACACCAAATTGAATTTGCCATACACGCTGTCGGCCTGTTTCAGACGGTGCACCAGTACTACTACTTCCACGCGGTGCTCCTCGAATATTTTGCCAAGCAAAAGCCCTACCAATGTCCACTCGGTAACCGTCAGGCGGATTTCGACAAGTTCATGGCGGACTACACGAAGGCGGTCGCCCAGGTCGACAACAACAAGTCCACGATGTCGTACCTGCCGAGTTCCGACGTGAAGAAAGCCACCTAATACTATCCTCGCTTGTATCTCCCTTCCTTTAATGTGAATCCCATTGTGCTTGGAAATAAAATGAATTAACGCCTTGGCATTTCGCAGTGAACGCTATATATTACAGCGTTCGGTTCGACACTCTGTACGTCAAAGGCCTTTGTACAGAGAAAGTGAGAGAGAGAGAGAGAGCGAGAGAGAGAGAGAGAAATTCCGTTGCGAATTCGTTGCTTAAGAAACCATGACAGTGCAAAACTTTGTGAAAATTCCAAATTTGCAGCTCAGAAAATCCATATTAGCAGGTTTTTCCGCAGAAAACATGCGAAAATAGTTTGCGGTACATTGAAAGACCGTAGCAACAGCTCGAAAAGCGGGCGCACGCTTTGGAAAACTGAACGGCGCCGCTGGTTGGACCATTTTGTAAATAGTTGAAGTGAAGGTTTTTTTCAAATAGATAGAGTTTCAAGGCTGATCGATTTTCTGGCCAACATAGCCCACCGAGAGGCGCATAACCCTTTCCCTGGCGTGACCGATTGCCCTGTTCCGTCTCTATCCATTTAACGAGCGAAACAGCTAATCGAAGCCAACCAAAACGAGTATATTTTGTGGCATTTTTGGTGTGGTTTTATGAGAATTTTGTGATTGTCGTGGCTGCCTAAAGCCTAAATAGCGCCTCCAGAGGTTGTAAGCGCGTTGATTGTAAAAACGTGCATGTTGAAAACGGGCATAATTACAAAAATTTATTCTCAAAATATTTGCTGCATCGCGAATCGAACGAGGAAACATGCGTAAATCGGGGAACTGGGTGAGTACAGAATCAGGCCGAATTAAAAAGGAGGAGCACGGAAACTTGGGTGATTTGGAAATGTTGCTCTGTTTTTTTTTGCGATTGGGAGGCTAAATAACTTCATGAAACTTAGCGCAACCAATCTCTTAACATTCGTGCTTTCGTACATGTCAGTAAGTGAGAAAGGGCTGCGTGGTTTCCTGCTTTCCCAGGGACTAGGCCAGTTCCGATCGCATTTTTTGCATTAGTCTTTTGCCTTTTTATTAGCATTCAGCCGGTGGCTATGCGTGTTTCGTCGAGATCGAGATGATGAGGACGTCCGCATAGCCTCCACCATTTTCGGGTTTCTGTTGCTTTCCCTTTTTCTCTTTCTTTCTCTACAATCTGAGTTTTTTCTTGTCTGTTGTTTAGATGGCTTTTTTTCGAGCTGTCAATTTGTGAGGTGTGGTATGTGGAAAACCCGGTTGCGGAAAATTCGGGACTCTGGTTTCGATAGGTCGCTCGAGGGTCCACACGTCGCTTGCCAGTCTACCGTACTCATCGCCGGGTCACAACGGGCTTACAAATGTGTGTGTTTTCTTTGAATTTGGCTGTTCGCCATGCCAAATTGGTATCGGCGTCGGCGTGCTCCACACAATCAAACCACTGGTATTCCGAGATTCCTCGGGGATTTGCTGTATTCCCCCGAAGCTTTTTTGAGCAAGTCTGTGGTGTTACGGTTTTTTTTAATCATCTTTGGCGTTTTATTAGCTTTTAGAATGTGCGAATGTGTGCAATACACGCAGCATTTCTGTTTCTGCAGAAGCGTTGCAAGGTCGTGCTTGCGTCCCTTCCTGTCCCCAGCTGGGTGTGGACAGCCGCATAGCTTGCACCATTTAAGGGGTTTCTGTTTTTTTTTCACTTTTTCTCTAACTTCTTCAAGATTTTTTATCAGAAATCCTTATTATATGGTTTTTTCTATTAATTTTCTATTTTCCAAGTGCGGTGGATCCCGTAAAGGATGTTCCGGTTTGCGTACACTTGCAGAACGCGCACCGCCCTTTTAGCTTGCTTTGAGTTGGGTATTCGTAAATTCCTATTTTGCGCCTTTGCACACACGCAATTTCCCCAGCATGACGGATCACCGAGGCTACCCACAGCCTACCTTTTTTGGATTACTGTAAGGTTACGCAAGGCCGCAGGGATCCCTGATCCGAGCCAGCATTTTACAGCCGGGCCGCCATGGGACTTTGTGATATCCTGGAGCCCACTTATGCGGTGCGTTTTCCCGGTGGCTCCTGTGGCGCCCTATTACGTGTTGCGTTTTGTCGTGTCTGCTGTGCGCGGCACGGTTTAAGAGTTGGGCCTTTATTTCACCTTCAAGTAGGCGAATGCCATGGGCCGGTTCCGGAGAAGGGAGGTGGGTTGGTGAGATCGCTGGCTCGGAAGCTCAACTCTCCTTTGCTGGATCACTGTAGCCTTGGCTGATTCCGACACTCGGGCTGGATAGTCTAGTTTAAGCATTTTTTTTTAATGTTGTTTTCCTGTTTTCAACACTTGATCGTCTTTTGGATGGCTGTGTGTGCATTTACTGCACCGATTCTGCAACCGAGCAGCATTTCGATATCGTGCTTGCGTACAACCCTGTCAACACCAAGCCGTACAACTCGACTTTTTGCAAGGTTTTCAGGATTTTTTATTTTGTGTCTGTTAAAGGCAGATCCCCTTTTCGGAGCACTCGTGCTTCCTTGACCTGGAAATTGACTTGGCCCCTAGTATGCGTCTGCTGCACCTAGTATGCGACGGTGTTATCATGTCTATTTTGCGCTTCAGTGTGTAGGGTGCACGGCTACACAAACTTAATTAAATTAAGTTTATTCACGCTTACAAAGAGATATACAATACGAAAACTGCTCCTCTTGACGGTTTCCGAGTGTCGGGGGACAATCAAGCTGGGGAGCAATGTGGGTAGAAAGAAAAGAAGAAAGATTGGGCGGATTGGCCCTGTGGCCGTGCCGAGACTTTTGTGTGGATCTCGCGTAGGTGCTGTTGCACCTGATCTGAGCGCCGGTGCTCTGCTGCTGTGCTTTCACTTAGATGGTGTAGTGTGCACGGCTAGATATAAACTTAATAGCCTGGTGTGTGCGTGAAGTGTTTGAAGCATATGGGCAAGTAGAATAAAGTATGGTTGTGGGCGTTGTAGGTTCTTTTACGGCCCCGGGGTGCCAGGCGCCGCCAGCTTGCGTCAACCGCGTCACGACAGGCTTCCTCTTTTTAAAGTGATTTCTTCTAACAGATTTCTATATTTCTTAGGGGGTGACTTTTTCGAAAACGCTGTTCCGACATTAAGGTCTTGTATATTTTGCACGGCCCTTTAAATTTGCAAGGGGTTTATATCTGTTAATTGCTCTTCAGCCCTTTTCCACACACGCTATTTCCCCAGCGCTTGTGCGGATTGTCTAGCTTGCGGTATTTCCTTGCGGAAGCCGATAGGCTGCATCGCTTGGCTTAATTTTTTTTTCAATTTCACGCTGTCTCTTTTTGCTTTACAAGCATTTAGAACCTTGGGCAGATGATGTTGGTGTGGCTGGCAAGGCAGCAGTCACAAATGCCCTTGAGTTTACAGAGTGTGGCGGGATTATTGTTACAGTCACCGCATCGCCCCTGGATTGTTAAAAGGGTGTTGGTCTCGTTCGTGATAACATAATCGCACGTAGATTAAAGTTGTCAGTTTTTGATACGTGTGTTTGCGTTGGGGCATGTGCGCGGGTTGCCAGAAAAGCAGCACCAGCGGTGTCCGTTTGGGTAGTGTCGAGGCGTGGGGCAACGTTTGGAAGCGTCATCTAGGTCGAGTAGCCCTCTTTATCTCGCGGCCCAGCATTTTCCACAAATAATTTGACGCCTCTTTTCATGTGCTAATGGAATGTTGCGTTATTTGCTGGATTCCAGGGCGCTAGTTATCCAAGCCGATTTAACGGTTTTGTATTTGCATTAAGGCTGAAGTCGTGCTCATAAATCTGCTGCACTGAATGTCTAAATGATCTGCGCGCCCGCACAGTCGACACCATCTGCTCGGTTTGTGCGGTTTTCTCAATCAAAATTTAATCCATCATCAATGTTTGCGCGCTTTCACGCCATTTTTCCTTTTTCGGTAATTTGTTAGCGGTTTTGGAAATCTCACGCAATGCTTGGGCGATTTTCGGCGCAGGTTGTATCGGCGGTAATAACTTGAGTGGTCGAACATTTCTGACTTCGTTTACGCAAAATTATTTTTGATCGTATTGATTGCCTCGCATCTATTCATAATTTCCAGTCTTTTTAATTATTTTGCAGTTTTATTTTTGACTTTTGTATTTTCAGTTCCAGCAGTTCCGGCCCGATAAGTTAGGCTGCCATCATTTAATCATTTTTGCTTAGATGATGTGATTTTAGTGTAGAGTTTGTAACACTTAGTGCTGGCACAAATCTAGTCCAGTTAGCTTCTTGTCTTTGGGTATGAAAATGACTAGGCTGACGCCCCGACCGATGCACCAATTTGTGGGCGAGTCGAGGTTATAATTTCTTTTGGCTGGCATGATTTTGTTTGGGGTTTTGGATAACAGGAAGACTAAAAACGGATAATTTTTAGCCCCCTACATTGTTATATTGTCTTTTAGCTGTATGGATAAAACAACCTGTCTTATTTTGTTACAATCTTCTCATTCTACAGGCTAAGTGATCGGTTTTTAGCTATTCGCTTTATTTTGGGCTGTTTGCTGGCCATTCTGGCCATTCAAAATTAATGTTGTGAATTTAAATTGCTGCTCTCGCGGATAAATTTGTTTAGATTCATGGCTGAAGGGTAAATTTAGTTGATTAAAGGTTACTGCCATGCTAAAAAATTTGGAATTTAGCTAAAATTTGGCTCCATCAAAAGTGCAATAAAGGAAGAAAGAGAGAAATATTCTAGCGACTAGTGCGGAAAAAATTTCAACTCGCGTTGCCGTCGGGCGTGAAGTGCAGTTGGCTTGTTGCGCCATGCACATCATCAAGCGGGAGAGGTTCATAGCTGAAAGTTTTACCATAATATTTCACAAACCACGACAAAGCTAGGTTTCATCATGGCCAAAGCTAAGCCTAAGCTAAGCCTAAGCTAAGCCTAAGCTAAGCCTAAGCTAGGCCAAAACTAGACCTAAGCTAGGCCAAAACTAAGCCTAAGCTAAGCCTAAGCTAGGCCAAAACTAGGCCTAAGCTAAGCCTAAGCGAAGCCTAACTGTAACCCTCTTTTGGTCGAAGTGGAAATTCCGTACGTGAGATAGCACATCTTGTGCAGAATTTTTTGCTGTTCCGAATCCGTTTTCAAAAGTTGCGGAACCCCTCAGATTAAAAAGTTACAAGCGTTTTTATTACCCAAAATGCCACAAATCGCTTACTTTAAAACGTTCTAAAAATTCCGTAAGATACTTTGGGGCGGAAAGTAAGACATTTTCTGGGGTAAAAAAACGTGCTCTTTCGAATGGGCTATCTCACAAACCCGTAGCTCGAAATTTCGAAAATTTCGAAAATCGACCATCCTGGGCAAGGGTCCGCCAAAAAAAACCTTTTTGCAAATTTTGAGCTACGGGTTCGCGAGGTAGCCCATTCGAAAGAGCACGTTTTTTTTACCCGGGAAAATGTCTTACTTTCCTCCCCAAAGTATCTTACGGAATTTTTAGAACGTTTTAAAGTAAGCGATTTGTGGCATTTTGGGTATTAAAAACGCTTGTAACTTTTTAATCTGAGGGGTTCCGCAATTTTTGAAAACGGATTCGGAATCAGCAAAAAATTCTGCACAAGATGTGCTATCTCATGTACGGAATTTCCACTTCGACCAAAAGAGGGTTACAGTAAGCTAAGCCTTAGCTAGGCCTAAGCTAAACATAAGCTAAACCTAACCTAAGCCAGGCCACGCCCAAGCCTAAGCTGAATATGGCGGAAATCCACCATCAAGAGCCCCAAAATCAACCTTCAATTGGTCTGATGTCCGAACCCCAAAATACTCACAAAAATTTTCCGCGTTGTCGGATCAATGCGTGGTTCTTGAAAGATCTCCTTTGGATTTCGAGGAGCATTTAGAAGTTCCCGAAAGACGAACTGGCATCTGAAACCGAAATTTGCAAACGATGCTCTTGATTTGCTGTTTAGCCCTGCAAAAATAAGTAACTTACGATTCAGCTAGGTGGCCAGAAGTAGAGTGGCATTCTCGGCTTGTAGGCCCTATTCAGGAGCTACTCAAGTACGGCTTCCAGATTACGTCGGCATGCTGTAGCTTGTGTACACTATGTCGACATGAACCCGAATCACCGTATGAGTCCTGAAAGAAATCGTTATGCTGATTTTGAGTCGTTTTTGCTACTTTTTTCCTGCTTATCAAAAAGCTTAATTGCCCCCAGGCAGGGAAGGCTCTATTTTTTGGGGGATTTTCATTTACTAAAAATCCACAAAATAACGGTGAAATTCCGTTAAAAAGACCTTGCCAAAAACTCACTTGATTTACATTTTTTCCAGAAGATTTTCAGATGTCCGGATCTTCTCGATACATAAGTAGAATCGATTTTGGCGGGCAAATTACGACGAATCTGCCGTATGATTTGGAGAAATTATCCAAGGTGAAGCGAAGTGCTGAAAAAGTAAAAAGTAATGGCTGTTTGAAATCGAAAAAACGGCAAGAAATATAGTCGCAAACTGTATAATTAATTTGGCAAGGTAGGACGGTACCAGAATTAGCACTTTTGCCTTCGTTCCTAAAACAGCGAAGGCAATTGCCCGGGCTGTTAATACTTGAACTGGAAAAATCGGATTACCTTGGCATTTTCAAAAAACAAGCATTTCAGGGTCGCAAATTTATCTTTTGGCCGGTTAGCAGCTATGGTATCAAAGTTGAATTAGTAAAATGACACTCAATTTTTGCAAGCGAGATTAGCGAATATGACTCATGAAATCCGTGGAAAAGTTGCTGAAATCTAATTCCAGTTAAAAAATAAACCAAAAATAAAATAAAATTACTTCACTTGACATTGAATCAATTAATTTAAAATGAAATCACTGCGCCAAAAAAATTCATTAAATGAAGATCAAAATTAATCAAATTAAAAATCAAAATTTATTAAAATTCCGGTAATTCGGGTAAGAAAAAGGACTAATGTAATTAAGTATAAGCAAAAATAGGAACTGATCAAAAAAAAGCGCCCGCACCAAAAAATGTGAATACGGTTGGAGGGCCCGAGAGGGCGGGGGCGCTTCTGGCGGCGCAAGCTGTAACAACTATGCGCAACACCGCGCTGACCCAGATCGGGGGCCCAACAGGCGGCGCGCGCCTTGTCCCATAATTTATTGGCATCCCGACGCGGGCCGACTGTTTACAGTTGGCACCTAACCCTAACCAGATTTGTAAACACGGAACAGATCAAGGGCCAGGTATATTGAAGGAACGAACCAAGTGCTAATAGGATTAATTATCGTATTATTGTCGAAAATCGGTTTTGTATCTAATTTTTGTAGATTCAAAAATGGACCGTTATTGAAATTGAAATTAGTAGAAAAGATGGTGGATTTTTAAAATTTGTAAGAAAAATAGCTTTTTAGGCAGTCCTTTTGCATGCCATTTTTATATTGTGCATTGAATCCGAAAAATATATGCAAATTTATCTACATCATAAAGCACCAATTGCTCTACAATCCCTGAGCATAAATTGGCGATCGGCTTAACGGCCGAGGTTGAGTCCGAGGCCGGTGTTGACGCCGAGTCCAGGCTGGACTCCGACACCACCTCCGTATCCGCCTCCGAGCAGCTGACGGCGCTCACGAATCTGGGCGGGCTTCTGGTGCTCGGTGTCACGTCCGACACGGGTGTTCAAGCCGGCTTGGACTTGGCGAGTTTCTGAAAATCAAATGTTTAGCGGAGTTTCTAGAGTAAAAGACAGAGAAAAAGAGAGGAGGGGGGGGGGGGGGGGGAGAGGGAAGGGAGAGGGGAGAGAGAAAGGGAGAGAGGGAGAGAGAGAAAGGGAGAGAGGGAGAGAGAGCGCTTTTGGGGGCCTGACTTACCGATCTTGTGCTCCTCGTTGTGCATGGTCTTCTCTACGTCACGTCCGACACGTCCACCGGCTCCAGCGGACACCTGGCGGGCAGGTCGTTCAACTTTCGTCTCAGCATGCATCGTCTTCTCAACATCGCGTCCGACACGAGCGTTCAATCCCGCGTTGACTTGGCGGGTTTCTAAAATTGAAGGATTAGATCAAGCCAAAACTGCAGTTGTTATTCGCTAGATCGCGAAAAACGAGAACCCACCAATCTTGTGCTGCTCATGCATCTGTTTCTCGACGTCACGTCCGACACGTCCTCCGGCTCCAGCGGAAACCTGGCGGGCGGGGCGCTCAACCTTCGTCTCAGCATGCATCTGCTTCTCAACATCACGGCCGACACGTCCACCAACCCAGGGACACCTTGGGCGGGCGTTAACTTTCTCGGCGTGCATCGTCTTCTCGACGTCGCGTCCGACACGGGTGTTCAGATCGGCTTGGACTTGGCGGGTCTCTGAAACGCGGTGTTTAGTTGTGGTTCGCTTGCGTTGATGCTCAAGGGTAGTTGGATTTTTTCTGATAACCCACCGATCTTGTGCTGCTCATGCATCTGCTTCTCAACGTCACGTCCAACACGTCCACCAGCTCCAGCGGACACCTGACGGGCGGGGCGCTCAACCTTCTCGGCGTGCATCGTCTTCTCGACGTCGCGTCCGACACGGGTGTTCAGATCGGCTTGGACTTGGCGGGTCTCTGAAACGCGGTGTTTAGTGGGGTTATTTTTGCGTTGAAGCTTAGGGTAGCTGAATTCTTAGTGGTAACCTACCGATCTTGTGTTGTTCGTTCATCTGCTTCTCGACGTCACGTCCAACGCGTCCACCGGCTCCGGCGGAGACTTGACGGGCGGGGCGCTCAACCTTCTCGGAGTGCATCGTCTTCTCGACGTCACGGCCGACACGAGTATTCAATCCAGCGGCAACTTGACGGGTCTCTAAAAAGGTAATTTTGCTTTTCTCGTATTCAAGGTTACAAGAAAACGAACTCGTTTAATACAAAGCAGTCAACTTACCGATCTTGTGCTGCTCGTGCATCTGCTTCTCAACGTCACGTCCGACACGTCCACCAGCTCCAGCGGACACCTGGCGGGCGGGGCGCTCAACCCCACATCTGCTTTCAACACAGAACGTCCTCCGGCTCCGGCAGATACTTGACGGGCTGGTCGCTCAACTTTCTCGGCGTGCATCGTCTTCTCGACGTCGCGTCCGACACGGGTGTTCAGGCCGGCTTGGACTTGGCGGGTCTCTGAAAAGCCTTGTTGAATTTCGCAAATTTCGGAGCAGCTAAAATCCCACTGTTAGCTGTAACTCACCGATCTTGTGCTCCTGGTGCATCTGCTTCTCGACGTCACGTCCTACGCGTCCACCTGCTCCAGCGGACACCTGACGGGCGGGGCGCTCAACCTTCGTCTCAGCATGCATCTGCTTCTCAACATCACGGCCAACTCGGCCGCCGACTCCAGCGTTCACTTGGCGAGTTTCTAAAAAGGTGAATGTCGTGGTGCGTTTCAAGGTATTCGGATGCAATAGCCAAATTATCGTAGCGTACTTAAAATTTCTAATACTCACCCATCTTGTGCTGCTCCTCGTGCATCTGCTTCTCAACATCGCGGCCAACTCGGCCGCTAGCTCCAACGTTTACTTGGCGGGACTCTGAAAGGAGTTGGTTTGTGATAGCGAGAAAGAGAGAGAGGGAGAGAGAGAGAGAGAGAGCGAGAGAGCGCGCGAGAGGGATAATGAGAGAGATAGAGAGACAGAGAGGAAGAGAAAGAGAGAGAAAGAGAGGGAGAGAGAATGATCACCTACCAATTTTGTGCTCCTGGTGCATCTGCTTCTCCACATCTCTTCCGACGCGAGTGTTGAGGCCGACGCCAACTAAAATGAAAAATTATATTTGGAAAAATATATTAAGTTTTTGGCTAAATTCAAGTCTTTCAGTCTAGGTCTGAGCCTGGGCTGAAGTCGATGCGTAAGCATGAAGCTAAGCTAGGCCTAAGCCTAAGCTCAAGCCTACGCATAAGTCAAAGCCGAAAAAACGACAGAAAGCCCCAAAACCCCGCAAAAATCCAAAGCTACCGTACCCTGGGCGTAGGCCGAAGAGGCCACTAGTAGAGCGATGAGAGCGACTTTCATGTTTGAGTCTGACTCCAACACCGCAGCCCCCGGCTTTTATACCAAGGATGTGTTTTCGATATCCAAATCTTCAAGGTTGGCCAAGGCTCGCCAACGCCCCCCGCGGACTTGTTTTTTTCCTCGCCAAACTGTTATGGTCAACCACCCTATTTTGTTGGTGCGCTGGTCAGCAAGGGGGAGGGGGGGGGCGCGGATACAAGGAGTTCCCCCCTGTACCCCAGCGTCTCCCTCTCGCTCTCTCTCTCTTTCTCTTTCTCTCTCTCTCTCGCTCTCTCTCTCCTCTCTTCACCCGATCAAGGTTTATTTTGTTCGGGGAAGGGCCCGGCAGGTTCGATCTTCCCGGTTTTGGGGGGGATGAGGACGATAACACCCGGCTGCCTGTTTTGGACTGTTGATGTGAGCCTTTTTGGCCTCTTGCTCCTTTCTCTCTCTCTCTCTCTTGTTCTCTCCGGCCTCTCCTTTACCGGGAAACAACGCTACCGGATGGATGCGGCCCTCCAGCAAAGAAGTGCTACTTGAATCGGATGAATTTGAATTTTAGCCGAGGGGCTAGAGAGTAAGAGACAGCTAGTGAGATATAGAGCTTGAGAGAGAGCGTGAGGGAGAGAGAGCGAGAGGGAGAGAAAGAGGGAAAGAGAGAGCTATAAAGAAAGAGCGAGAGAGAGAAATACATGGTGTGAGGCAGGGGACAACATGCGGTGGTAAACGAACTGAAACATACTGTGTAAACTTGAGTTTTCGATGCTGCAAAATTAAATACCCTTCTAAAACGAAAACTTTTACGATAGCTACCATCTACAGGGTGGCTAGAAAGTATTTGCCGCAGAGAAATCTCCTTTAGAAATTCTCAGTGTCCGGCTTCGTTGCCATTTTTTAGCAAATATGTAGCGAAGAAACCACTTTTTCCGACCATCAAAAAGGCTAACACCCTAGGCCTCAGATTTTTAAGATACGGTCCTTTAGAGATGCATCCAAACATGAACCTGCGCCGCACGTATTTTGCCTTTAGTGTTAATCTTTTCAGTTTTTGCTTGCAACCAATCAGAATAGCAAGTTGGGTTTTTGTTCATTGCAAGGCCCTTTATCGGACGTAATAACCAGAAAAATTCTTTTTAGCCGTATCGAAAAGCTTTTCGCTATTTTCTTGAACACCTAAAATGAGCGGAACAAGGTGTTTTTGGAGCACAAATACAAAATGTCTTAAATATCCACGTTTTCATGCGCCAATTATTTTTTCTTTGGTGGACGCACTAAAACCAACCGCGTGGAGAGGAAAAGCTCATTGGATAGCCGTAACTAAAGATATTGTGGGCGCAAAAGAATAATAAGATGTACTTTCTTGCCGTTGGTTTCGAACAATCTTCAAATGCTTTAGGCCGGCGTTTTCAATTATTTTGGCCCTATTCAAAGTGTCAACCTGGTAAGCTGATGCGTTGTCTATATTTTAATAGTAAATTTAGGGCAAGCTCTCGAATTAGTAATTTTTAAAATCCATTCCTGTGCGGCAAATGGTTGCAAGCCACAAATCTCGGCGCACCTCACTAGCAAAATTTTGCTTGCACTTCCGTGATCCATCTAAGTCTCGCGGTGCCCCAAGCATAATTTTTTTAGATAGTTTGGATAATGGTTTCTACGATACAGCACCGGAAAAGAATAAGATATTCCCTAAGAAATTTTTCGAGGGCGTCGAAAGTGCCGAAAACCAATACGAAAAACGAAGTTGTATGTATTTAACCCCAATTAAAATTATACGAGCAAGGAGCTGCGTGTTTCTATATATCAATCGATAGAGCAAAAATTCTCTTCCGAATGCACCCCCCAAATGCATCTGTCGCAGAAATTTTAGCAGATTAAAACCAGGGCGAAAGCCCGCAAATACTTTCTAGCCATCCTGTAGAAGGCCATATTGTGGAACGGAGAGCATAAAAATTTGGAATACAAATCTCGGTCTACCGTAACCCTTGTCCACTGCTCGGTCCGATTTTGAATTTCAATCAGCACAATGGGATGCCTACAGTTATAAGATGCGCATTTATCGTAGCAGTAAAAATCGAAATTTTAGATCGATAGATTTCCCTTCTGATCAGTATCTTTGCAGATAGAATCTACTTCAGAAGAAAAATGTACTACCTATCTCTAAACTGACTTTACCTTTTTTGTGTATCTGACTTCATCTTCTCTAATTTTCTCATTCTCGCTCTCTCTAGGTATCCGTGTTTTGTGTGTGTGTGTGTGTGGTTCTACCTTACTTTCTTACTCTATAGCGCGGGTTCTCTCTACATATCTCTCTCTCGCTCTCCCTCTCTCTCGCTCTCCCCTCTCTCTCTCTCTCTCTCTCTCTCTCTCTCTCTCTCTTTCTCTATATCTCTTTATCCTTTTTTTTCGACCCGGACATCTTTCCTCGAAACGGGAAAGTGCGCATTGGACTACGGTGAAATCCACCACCCCCCCAGCTGGTAAGCAAAACAACAACGTTTCCCGGGGGGACAAGGTCACCGCCCCACCCTAGACCGGACTGGACTAGATGTCTGCTTTTCTGGGTCGACGAAAGATCGCGTCATTTGGCATTCAGCGGATTCGTCTTTGGGAGATCGTTAGTCCGAGTTCAGGTGCCGTTTGGCGAAATGATACCTTGGCCACTTTCTACCGTAACACTCTAAGGAATTTCAATTATTTGGCTCGGCCCTTTGTTGATTAGTGATCAAAATGTTCGTGTTGTGGAGGCGTATGCTTTTATTAAAATGTAATGTATTAAAATCATAAGAGATACCGCACTTCCTAAATGATTTTTATTTGCCTTATTTGCATCTTTATTTGCCGGGCAGGTCCTTCTGCTGGGGAGCCGCTCGTCCGACACGGGTGTTCAGATTGGCACCGACTTGACGGCGGGTTCCTGGAATCAGCAATTTTACCACGGTGCTATCGAAATTAATTTGAAGCTTAAGTTTCGAGGTTGTAAGTTAAGTAAATTTGAGTTTGATTGAAGTTTTTGAAAAATGTCCGTCCTTTTTAATCACCTTCTCCGCGGAATTTTGATGAATTTCTCTATTTAAGAATCTTATTCAAAAAATTCCGTCAACGCCTTGGGCTCTGATCCTGTGCCAGTTTAAAGAATTTTAAGCGCCTAAATACCGCAGAACCGCCCGGAATGAGCAAATTTTGCTAATATATTTTTTACTATCCTGCAACCCCGTTATTACTACTTTCTGCGAAATATAAAGGACTACTCTCCGTGCCTGTGCTCATCGCCGCCCATCTGGTCCTTCTGAACTTTGCCGGTTTCTGAAATAAGAGTGTGTGATAGAGAAAGAGAGAGAACGAGAGAGAGAGCGAGAGAGAGTGAGTGAGGGAGAGGGAGCGAGAGAGAGAGCGAGGGGCGAGAGAGGGGAGAGAGAGAGAGAGAGAGAGAGAGAGAGAGAGAGAAAGGACTGAGGTTGAGAAGCTGTTTCACTAGCTCTATCTCTCTCTCTCTCTCTCGCACTGTCTCACTCTCTCGCTCTCTCTCGCTCTCTCTCACTCTTGCTCACGCTCTCTCCTTCTTTATCTATCTATTTCTTTTTATTTCTTTGTATTGATTAAAAGGTTGTTTTTTGGATTTGAAAGACTTTATTTCCATAATAAATACACGTAAGCTTATTCTTATTATTACTGCTTCTTGACGGCGGCCATTGGAGTCGGGTTGACGTAGAGAGGGGCTAAAATGATTATATATTTCGTTAAAGTCGGTATTTCCGTTAAAAATGGAATTCAGATCACTTACTTGAGGTTCCGGAGTAGTGAATAGTGAAAGGCTGAATGTTGTTGTCTCCGCTGTTGTACCAGGTGACCATAATCTAAAGTACTGGTATGTATAAATTGTTAATAGCTGGTTCTCTTCCGTTCTCTCTCTCTCTCTCTCGCTCTCTCTCTCTCTCTTACCTGTGGCGAGCTCGCGCTCAGCGTCAAGGTGTAGGTCCTCGGGTTGAAGTTGCCCTCCTGCCACAATGGCTTGGTGCGGTCGAAGCCGTCGAACACGTTCAGGTTGAAGTCGTTCTAAAGATTGATTTTTATACCGTAGTCCAATATACTTCTTACCAGTGCCCTGATAACGCTGATCTCAACATTGGCGTAGTTGTTGAAGGCGCTGATTTGGTACTGGCAGTTGAGCTGGTTGGAGAACTCGAACGGGTAGCCGGGGGAGGTGATCTGGAATTGGAGGGGTTATTGGAATAAGAGAAAGTTATCGATTTGCCTATATTTAGTGATATTATCCTACCGTTCCGTTATTTCCAAAGAATGTCGTGTTTCCACATGTGGGCGGAGCTGGCTGGGTGGGCATCGGCAGGCCTTGAGGGCGCGCGCAAACGGCACGGAAGTGGCTCCCGCAGGGCTGGAAATAAGAAAATTGATCGATGCTATTTAACTTTACCTAACTTGCTGGTTTCATTATAATTAATATTAAGTTTTAAAGCTCTAAATCTTACCACAGACAGCCACTGCCCAGCGTAGTACATCTTCGAGGTGGAGAAGGCGTAGCAGACCGGGGCTGGGTCCTGGCGAGCTGAAAGAAGTTCGATGTAAAAGTTAAAAGAGCTTCTCTTTCCATCTCTCTCTCTGTCCCTCTCTCTCTCTTTCTCTCTCTCTACTTACGAGCATAGTTGGCAAAGTCCAGCCTCGATCCATCGGTCCAGGTGGAGTTGATGCCGTCATTCTTCAGGCCGATCCACGCAGCGTTTCCGATACCATGCGATGCGATGAAATCCATCAGGAAGTAGGTCGTCTAGAAGACATCTTTCGGTAAGTTAATCCAGGAAAATTACCGCGTTGTCGTGAACCGAGGCTAGATGACCTCCATCTGATTGGCAAAGAGCCTCGGCCAACGCCATTGTGTAGGTCTGGTCGGTTTTGGTCTAAAAATTTGGAAAACATAACCCTAAGCAATAATTTAATGTTGTAGATGTTTAAAACTCTAGGGCATAGAGTAACTTACGGTATAGCAGGTACCATTGTAGGGGAACCAATTCGCAGGGCAGCCGGTCGGGCTCGGGGTGGTCATGAACTGGGCGCCAGCTGAAATAAGCGATTAGAAAAATAAATGTTTTTAAGCTTCTTATGAAAGCTACCAAAAAGCTTTATGAAAATCTAATTAGCGTTCCAAGCTCCGACGGCTTTCAGGCATTTTCTAAGCGCTGTCGGCCCACATAGAAAAATTCCATTTTTAACACTAAAAATTTTCAGAGGCGTGGATTAAATTAGTATATTTAAATTTACCGAAAAGTAAAATAATCGTAAAGCATTAATAGTGGTGTAAAACTTACTGGAAAGTATAAGAAATCCAAAATCTCGCTAAATACAAAGCCAATACCCGTTTTCAATTGATAACCGAATTGCCAAAAAAGCGATGCTCAAGCAACGGGAGCCTCAGAGCTCAAGCTCAAAAAGCAAGTCAGAAAGGTAGCTTACCAATGGCGACCAAAACCGCAAGAGTAGCTGCTCGGAGAGCCATCTTTTTTAAGCTGGTAGCTGAAGGATTGATACTCTTCCTTACAAACCTGAAGCTTTTATACCCAAAATCCCGTCTTTATCGCCAAAATCAGATTATCCACGCTGACAAAATTATCTTCGCGCCTCCACTGCTTCTTCTTTGTCCTCCCAGAAAAGCTGGGTGTGGCCACAGGAAATGATGATTTTTGCGGGAGGGGGGATTATTGGAACGGGCCATTTTCTCCCCGAAAATCGGCCCAGGCAACGCCCAAACCACGGCTTATCACCAGCGGAAACCGCTACGAGCCCCCGAATTGGGTGTCCGATTTTTGGAAAGCTCTGGCGTGCAGATTAGGGCTAGGAGTGTTTGGGCTGGAGGTACTGTACTTTTTGTCCAGGTTTTTATTAACAAATTTATACAGCTAAATGTTGAATTTTCAAAATGCTTAGGGCTTAATCTGGATAGAGGATCGCTTCCTATGCTAAAATTTGCAAAAAAAAACGCTTTAGAAAAGGCCACAAAAATTTTTGCTCTGATTTTTGTAGACTAATCGTATCTTATCGGAATGTCGTACGGCTCCCCATTACTTCTAAAATCATTACTTCTAAAATAATTACTTCTAAAAGCATTAATTCTAAAATCATTACTTCTAAAAGACGTTACGTCTAAAACCTGACTTCTACAATAATAAGCGTCGATTTGGGCATAAATGTGGCTAAATGAGCAGATAAACTGAGAATCCGACGTATCAACTTTTAGAAGCAACGTTTTTATAAGTAACGATTTTAGAAGCAATAATTTTGGCAGTAATGATCGTCCCGCTCGTCTCCGATCCTGGGTGGACACCCTCTAACACTTCACCCTCCCTCCCGCAACCCCTTTCGCCTACGACCATACCACGTTGAAAGCACGGCATCCCGTCCGATCTGCCAAGTTAAGCAACGTTGGGCTCGGTTAGTACTTGGATCGGAGACGGCTTGGGAATCCCGAGTGTCGTAGTTTTTGCACTTCCGCGTATACCGAGTTGATTTTTGTCCTTCAGAAGTGGTTTTCCAAGCACTTTTGAACGTTTTTGTTGTCCTGATTATCAAGGCTTGGGTTTCCAGAGAGCTCAGATTTCCAATGGGTCGGCTTTTCTGTGATTCTTTAGTTCAGCTCCTCCAATTTTCGAGACCCAATTGTAGTAGATTGTAGTTTAGTTACAGCTGAATTTTTAGCTTGTTTGCTATTCAATCTTTGGTTTTCGAGCGATGTTAGGAAACGCACATTTATTCAGACTAGCAACCGCAGCGATCAATCTATATAGTTACAGGGTATTCACTCAGCTTGAGCGGGAGCAAGATGGCTGCTGGATGTCGAGATCATCGTTAAGTGCTCCCATGTCACGTAGAATCACCTCCCACGGGTTCTCATTCCTGGAAAGAAGGATTTTATTTAGGGTATCTTGCTGGATCACATTAATATGCAGCCTGATACATCAAGGAGAAATCGAGAAAACCCATTTTTTTTGGTTTCTACACTTCAAGATTTACCCCAAATTTTCAATCCACGCTCCCTCTTGAGCCAAGTTAGCACGGCCACTTACTTCATAGCCTCCTCCTCTTCCGGCGTGAAGTCGTTTGTGAGCTGCCAAATCTCGCGAATCTCCTCCGGATTCTTCCCTTTGATCATAGCAGCGATGGTTTCGGCTGATTTGTCGAGAAGGCATTTGATGTCCAGGTAGTTAGCAGCCTGAAAAGAACATTGTTTAAGTCACGAATCGCTAAAAAAGCTGAAATTTCTATATTTTTAGAATGTAGGCATTTTAATAGCTTTTGAGTTGTCAAAAACTGCCAAAAACCGTAAAAAATACACTAGAAGTATGCTGGAAATGTCTAGGTAAGTGTCACCCCCGTTAGCAGGTCAGTACTCCCAACACTATAGTCCGAGGCCCAAAGCCGAAATTTTACATGACCTATCAAAAATTCCAAAAACCCACGGTGATGACGTCGAAGAGCTGCTCCGAAGTGAGCGCATCCATATAAGCGTTCTCCCACTTCTTCATCCCCTCGTCCCGCTCATTCAGCCACCACTTGTCCTCCTCCCATGCCGGCATCGTCTTGTGCTGCTCACACCATTTTACCAGCTGCAAAATAAATTGGTTTCTTCTGTTAATACCAGAAAAATGAGACATTACTAGTGCCGCTAAGGAAATTGCTAATCAAATGCTAAATCGCTAATGAAACTCCGGAGAAACACCTACAAAGTGAAGCGTTTCGCCGGAGACGTTCATCAGCGGAATCGGCTTCATATTCCGGATCGATTCATCATCCTCGACTCCCAGATCCTGAAAACTGGTTGTAAGTAATAAGTCGAGGTAAGCTCATTATTTTATAAACTTATTTGTCGTTTTTTTTTAACTTTAACGAAATTCTAAAAAGCTATAAAAGGGCCAGTTAAGGCAAGTCTGAGAATTTTTATGGTTTAGGCCTAAGCAGCAAAAAGTACAATTTGATTTAAACCTTACGGTTGAAATATTACAAATCGAAAGCGCTACACCAACGAAAGGCCATTTGCCAGAGAGAATCTAGAGCAAACAAAGCCCAGAAATAATCCATAGCCAAGAAATTTAAAAGTTCCGAATTGTCAGTTCCTTACAGGCAAAGACTATCCTGAACGTACCCGTGAGATCTGCTTGACGACCCCGAACAGCTGGGCGGCCGACTTCTCGAGCGTGAATTCCATGCCTTCTTTTGAGTGGAACTGAAAAAGAAAACATTTTATTATTTGCCTACTGTAATGTTCTTTAAAGAGTTAGGCAAACGGAGGCTTTTGCCGATTTCCGAGGGGGATGTTTGAGGCAAAAAGAATATGTTAAATTACCCGATACAGGGCCTCCTCCTTGAGACGCTTTGACGAATCGGGGCCTTCTTCGAAGTTGGGAGCCATCGTTGTTGGTTCGGAAGCGGAAGTTGGGAGATGCGGCAGAGTGAAATGGGGATGATTTTTCACAAAAATTGTGCGCCTTATATTCGGTACGACAGATGCGCTGGCGGTGTCACCAAGTCTGCTTTGGGCGGAACTGGGTCAAGGCGTATCAAGACGAAGGGCAACGCACTAATGGATGATCAGCCCGGCACCCCCCATGTCGATTCATAGATATCCAAAATTTGCATAAACTTTGCATAAAATAACATAAAATTAAGTTTTGGATTGCAATAAATCGTAAACATTTTCAAATTTGCATGCAACTGGCAAATATCACGTCCGGTTGCCCAAAATTTTCCCATCTGGCCCACTATATTGATTGACCATCTACAGTACCCGTGTTTGGATAACCTACCTGGAAGTGATGATCCTCGATCATGAAGGAGGAGATTCTGTGATGAGGCCCGGCCATTGCACTCCCCGGTCAGGCTGAACCACAACACCATCCCCCAATAAGGGATCGTGTACTTTCCAATTTTTGAGTGAGGGGTCCCGGGCGGTAGCGGGGACCCTGCTAATACAGAAATGATCGGAAGCTCGTTCTATCTCTTGCACATCCTTTGTGCACTCCCTTGTGGGAATGCGTTCCAAAATTTGTTCGAAACACTCTTTTGAGGAGGTCTCGGGGTTAATGCTAACCTCAAACTTGGGTAATTAAACCGAACCTATCGAGGGGTGGCTGCTTTTCTGTCCTATCCAGCTAGTAGATAACAGTCTCTTGCAGGGCAACCCTCCAAAAAGCGAGCATCTGCTCGTCTGATGCCTCCTCTACCTCGCTCTACAAGAGCTGGGGTGACTGTCGTCTTAGACCTCTAGCTCTGTCCCAGTCTCTAGGGTACCGCTAACACTTCACCCTCTCTGCCCGATCTCTTTTCGCCTACGACCATACCACGTTGAAAGCACGGCATCCCGTCCGATCTGCCAAGTTAAGCAACGTTGGGCTCGGTTAGTACTTGGATCGGAGACGGCTTGGGAATCCCGAGTGTCGTAGGCTTTTTGCACCTCGGGGGCATATCGATTTCCTTTTTAGTCCTTATAAAGTGGTTTTTCACGCGCTTTTGCAGCAATTTGCTGTTTTCCGCGACTGGACTAGTCAAGCTTCAGGAAACTGCTACACAGAAGAACAAATAGGCATTGCAGCAAAAAATGGAGGTTCCGAGACGACTTATGCCTAAGAAACAAGGATCTATAGAGTGAGCTAAAATTCCAAAACTCTTTTTTTTTCTTTTGAAACCAGCCATTGATTGAAAGAATTTATTAGCACGCAATTCGAAAGTTATTGTTGCTTGTTGGCAGGGACCATGGGAGTTGGGTTGACATAGAGAGGGGCTAAAAATGGGCGGTTTGAGTTCATCTAACCGTTTAAGGTAAGTTATAGCTGTCCTAAAAACTCACTAGCAGTCCCAGAGTAGTGAATCGTGAATGGTTGAACATTGTTGTCGCCACTGCTGTACCAAGTGATCCTGATCTAAAAAACTCTGATTTCTATAGGATCGTTCTCTCTCTCCCTCTCTCTCCCGTTCTCTTTCTCACTTTCACTCTCTCTCTCTCTCTCGCTCTCGCTCACTCTCTCACTCTCTCACTAACCTGCGGGGATCCCGAGCTGAGCGTCAAGGTGTAGGTCCTCTGGGTGAACTGTCCCTCTTGCCACAATGGCTTGGTTTGATCAGTGCCGTCGTAGACGTTCAGGTTGTAGTCGTTCAAGGCCCTAATGACGCTGATTTCAACGTTAGCGTAGTTGTTGAAGGCGCTGATTTGGTACTGGCAGCTCTGGCGGTCCGAGAACTCGAACGGGTAGCCGGGGGATTGAATCTGGAATTAGGGGTTCTAAAGGCTTTTTACGACATTAAGAACTTGATTTTTTTAATGATAAGTACAGTAAGTATACAAGTGACTTTAATAAGTAATGAGGATTCCCTACCGTTCCGTTATTTCCAAAGAACGTCGTGTTTCCACATGTAGGCGGAGCTGGCTGGTCAGAAGACCTTGAGGGCGAGCGCAGACGGCATGGAAGTGGCTCTCGCAGGGCTAGAATTGAATTATTTAAACTGTACTACTAAACGTTGCTAATTTTTCGTGGTGTATCTAATGGCTTATAATTGGGTTTAAGGTCCTAAGACTTACCACAGACAGCCACTGGCCCGGGTAGTAGATCTTGGCGGTCGAGAAAGCGTAGCAGACCGGAGCTGGGTCCTGGCGCGCTGAAAGAAGGTGATATAAAAGTAGTTAAACGTATAAGAGTTGAAGTGGCTCCTGTCTTCTCGCCCTCTCTCTCTCTCGCTCTCTCTCTCTCTCTCTGTCTATCGCTACTTACGGGCATAATTGGCGAAATCAAGCTTCGATCCATCAGTCCAACTCGAGTTTCCGCCGACGTTCTTCAGCCCAATCCACGCCGCATTTCCGATTCCGTGAGAGGCGATGAAATCCATCAAGAAGTAGGTTGTCTAGATAACTCTTTGGGAAGTTAATAGCCGAATTTTACCGAGTTATCATGCACCGAAGCCAGGTGACCGCCATCAGCTTGGCAGTGGGCCTCTGCCAGCGCCATTGTGTAGGTTTGATCGGTTTTGGTCTGAAAGTGCGGAAGGTCAATTGGGAAGCTGCCCAAAGTAAGGTTCGTCGTGTCCTAAAATGCCATTAACTTACCGTATAGCAGGTGCCGTTGTAGGGGAACCAGTTGATTGGGCAGCCGGTCGGGCTGCGCGTCATTTGGGCGCCGACTAGAAGAAGGTTTTTGCGAAGTTTAGAAATTAGAAGTCTAGAAATTCCTTCGACAGCTACGCCGCGCTGCAAACCACCGGCGCAACTTCGATTCATTTAGATTGAAGCGGTCTTTTTAAGCAAAGTACTTCATGCAGTTTGCGGCTTCCGGTCGAGTACGAAGCTGTCGAGACCCAGCCGTTGACATGGCTCGTATTGGCTGTTTTCTAGTACCTTTAATTAGGTATGGACTATCGCCTCGATAGGTAGCTTACGGTTACGGATCTGTTTTTAGTTTTCCAAAAAAAATTTTTGGCTTTTTTGCGCATTTTGAAACCTAGGTGACTACGGTAGATTTGTGAGTTTAGCCTGACTTTAACTAAGAAAATCTACCAAAAAGGGATTTGTAGAATTTATTTTAAATTTTGTTTGACCGGAATTGGTAGCTTACCAAGCACAACTAAAGCGGTGAAGACAGCTGCTCGAAGGGCCATGGTTACGGTAGACGGCGACGAGGTGTTGCTGAAGAGCTCAAAGATTGAATAATTTCTGCCGAATACCTCATACTTTTATGCCCAGAAATCTTATCCCATTATCTCCAAGCCGAAATTAAACGGCAATGACAATACTAGCTCCACCTCACCCTGGACTCTGTTTCAGCCATGCTCTGGTCAAAAAACCAGGGTGTGGCCCCGGGTGATGATTTTGGAGGCGCTCATTGGAACGGGGGCTTCCCTGCCCCGAAAATCGGCCGAGGGGACGCCCAAATCAGCGGCTTATCACCAGCGGAAACCGCGACGGGCCCCGAATGGGTGTCCGATTTTTGGAGGGCGCAGATTAGCCGGCAAAGGTGGTGCGTTTAGATTAGAGGTACCGTAGTCACGGCATCAAAAGCTCAAACTAGCAACTTTCGGGTTTGCCAGCTATGAACAGTTCTAGAATCGGCGCTTTTTGTAGAATTTTTTCAGCATTATGCCTTTTTTATTTGGAAAAATTGCATTAGATTCCCATAAACAGAGTATGAAATTTTGTTACGGTAGTTTGAGAACAACACATAAAAATGATTTTTTTAGGTAACTTGCTTCGAATAAAATTTGAATTGAGGGTAGCATGGAATTTGAACTCTCCGTTTGTTAAAAACGTTTTTCTTTCTCTCTCTCTCTCTCTCTCTCTCTCTCTCTCTGTCTCTCTCTCGCTCTCGCTCTCCATTTCGCTCTCTCTCCCCGCTACCCTTCAAATTAGGATTTGCTAAATCTGCGTAAATCTACATAAATTACTTGACTCCAATTTCAGCACTTCCTTGCTCTGCAAAAATGAAAACCCCACCTCACTTTCATACTTTTCTTATTACATGTGGCACGACAAGAATTTTTTGCATTTACCTGATCAGGTGGGTCCATTGAATTTGTTTTTAAAAATCCAGTTTTTAGCGCCTTCTCTGCACCAAGTACGGGACGATTTGCACGACTATTAGTGTGAGTTTAAGCATTTTTAATGAATAAACGGGATGTTCTGTTTTATCCAGTTGATCTTCAGATACCCGAACCTACTTGGATGCCCTTCAAGAAAGAAGACACCGACCGATTGGCCGTCCTCACCTCCGCCGGCCTGCTCTACGTCTACCACCTGAGTTTGCAGACCGTCGGCGCTGGGTAAGTTGGAGCGTACTGTAATTGTTTTACTTTGCTTCTTAATCTACTTAATTTTGTCTTCAATTTCCCTTTAATTCCAGGCTACCGCACGTCGGCCAGCTGATCAACGTCAGCGCGGCGAAGAAGATCGAGGTGGAGACGAGGAAGTCCGGGATTCGCGTGCTGATTGTTCAAGAAGATGGCGAGAAGGTAATTGATGATCTCTCTCTATCTCGCCCCCGCTCTATGTCTCTCTCTTTCTCCATCTTTTTCTATGTCCCTCTCTCCCTCTCTCTCTCTCTCTCTCTCTCTCTCACTCGTTCTCTCCCTCTCCCTCTCCCTCTCTTTCTCGCTCGCTCTCTCTCGCTCTCCCTCGCTCTGTCTCTCTTCTTTCTCTATCTCTCTCTTTCTCTCTCTATCTCTCTCGCGCTCTCACTCTCGCTCTCTGTTTCACTCTCGCTCTCTTTCCCGATTATGGCTTTGGCAAGCTAGCAGAGAACATTTAGGAAAAGATGTGCCATTAATTTATCGATTACCACATTAATTTAACCTTTTACAGGTCCACTTCAAGGTGAAGGCCGAGAACGCGCGTATCTGGGCGGCCAAGCTGTTTTGGTTTGAGAGTAAGTT